CGTCTCCCGCCAATATGGTATTACGTGGGCCGTTGACACAAGCCACATCCACTGCCACATCTGCCATATGCTCTGCTGCACGATTCAGCAAACCCTGTACCTCCACCTCTGAACCCTCCACTAGGAGCATAGCTCCACGCTCAGAGCCCCACATGCTGTGGATCATCTTGGCTCGCTCCGAGACAAGATAAAGAGCATCCGAAAGGCTCAACCCGCCACCGACACAGAGTCCAGTAAGTTGACCAAAGCTATGGCCTATAATTCGGTCCACTTGCAGTCCGGAATCTATCCATGACTTTGCTGATGCATATTGGATTGAGAACAAAATGCAGTGAAGGCTGACGGTATCTTCAATTGGGCCAGGTTGGAAGATACTCGGAAAGAGGCTCGGAAGGTCAAGAGTTTGACAAACTTTTTCACATTCCGTCTAAGACAGCGCAGATGGACTGTTAGCAAACAAAACATAGAGAAATCGAGATATTTCCAAGGCTTACCAAGTGATATTGAAGCAGTTCACACTGATTAAACAGGTCTTCGGAAATGGTTGCTTCGTTCCCATTTTGCCCACCAAAGCACAAGACGACGGGCAGACGGGCCGCCGGTTGTTTCTCAAGATTTGTAGTCTCACATGATATTGACTCTAGCTTCGCAATAAGCTCGTTGGGTCGATCTACAGGAATGCTGAATGCTGAAACGTAGTCCATGTCTCTGCTCTGCTTGATTGCCAAGTTATAGGCTGTGTCTTGACAACTGGTCAGTTGTGCATCGCAGACGCTTGAAAGCAGAGCTTTGCAGTATGATCTGAGTGATTCAACGGTGTTGGCTGCTAGAATAACGGGCACCTCACTAGGGAGGGGAGAAACTGGATTCGAAAGGCCAGATTTTGCTTTGTATTGTTTCACAACAAGAGCCGCGTTGCTTCCTGCAGCTCCGTAATTGGTCACCATCGCCACAGCAGTCGAAGATGAATTAGCAGCGGAGGGCCAGTGGATAGACTTGGTTGGAATTGCGATTGCTGCATCGTCCAATGTGGGAATCTTGGGGTTCAGTTGAACGAAATTGGCCTGCTTCGGTATCTGGTGTTTCTGCATCATCAGGACAGTCTTTAGTAGGCCAGCTACACCTGAAGAGGTTTCAGTGTGGCCGATGTTATCTTTGATAGATCCGACATAAAGCCTTTCGGTGCGCGCAGGTCTTCCAAACGTTTTGCGGATGCTCTCAAATTCAATTGGGTCACCTACTTGTGTGCCTTGTTATTTGTATTAGTGAATATATCTCAAATTGTTAGTGTGGCTTGACAAACCTGTGCCATGCGCCTCAACATAAGTGACGTCTTCTGGACGAACCCCAGATGTCACGAGGGCCTTCCGATAAAGGGATATCTGGGAATCCGAGTCTGGGACAGTGATTGGAGAGCGGTTGGACCCCTGATTGACCGCCGACCCACCAATGATGGCAAGAATGGGGTCTCCGTTATGAATTGCGTCTTTCAAGGGTCGTAGAACGACCAGCCCCGCCCCCTCTCCACGACAATAACCATCGGCACTCGCATCGAAGGCCTTGGAAGCACCAGTAGGTGAGAGAAAGGAGGCTGCCGCCAGATTTTGTGTCACTCTGGGGCTGGTCATGACATTTACGCCGCCCGCCACGGCAATAGAACATTCATTAGTTTGAAGTGCCTGCAGTTTGTTACCAGATCACCGAGTCAGTCACTTCTTCGTCGCCCGAGAATATCGTGGTTTGAGGAGTAGAATCGAATATGGAATCTTACCTTGCATGCAAGATGAATAGACACCGCAGCTGAGGAGCATGCGGTGTCAACCACCACCGATGGCCCAGTCCACCCGAAATAGTGACTAAGACGGCCAGTACAGAACGCCTGGAGTGTTCCTGTAGCTGAAAAGGCGTTCGCGTTGCTTGATCCAACATTGTCAGTATAGTCGTCCGAGCCGACACCAACATAACAACCGACGTCGCTTGGGATATTGAAGGTGCGGAGACCACAATATCCAGCTGACTCCATAGCCTCATACCCTACCTGAAGGAGTAGTCGTTGCTGGGGGTCCATAGCCTCCGCTTCTCGGGCCGAAATTCCAAAGAAGCGATGATCAAACACATCTGGATTAGCCAGATAGTTTCCCCAGAATGGCCCTTTTGGCTCGCGAAGAAGGTTTTCCATCTTGAATCGCTCGTTGGGAAGTGCGTTGACACCACACCGCCCCAGCTCGAGCATCTCCCATAGTTGCTCTGGAGAATCCGCTTGGGCATATCGGCACCCCATGCCAGTGATAGCAATTGGGGTCACTGTCGGGCCGATAGGGGCCATATCAATTGAAGGCCTCGATCGAGTTGTGGAAGATGATCTGTGGATTCCATTTGGCAGAATTGCATGTTGTTTTGTGTCTGACCACTTGTTGTTCAAGTGATCTAGAACGCGGGTTCTGACTAGACGTGGAACAAACTGGCCAGTTCCAATGACCACGAAGGCTAAATCGTCATCTGTCTCTCTCGCTTGCTCAAATGCGGCTGAAACAGTTATAGCCCACTGTGATGGCTTGGTCAGGATTGATTCTAGGGCAGTTTTGTGAATGGCAAATCGTTTCCCAATCACATGGCCATCGACATTGGACCTCAGTGGAAGAACACAGGGACTAGTCCTTGCTAACCGGAACCTGGCATCTGTCTCACAAAGATCTGCAAGGTATTGAACAGCTGTGACATGTCTCGAATGATGAAATCTTCCCTTCAGGTCAATGATTTTCACCGACAATCCATGACCTCCTAGCTCCTTGGTCAAATCATCCACTTCATCTTCCGCGACTGTGACTGTGACTGAGGTTGCATCCGTAAAGCAGGAGATGTAGGCCTATGTGTTGTCGATATTAGATTATCCGTTCATCACGTATGTGGATCCTCGGCCCAATATCAAGTCACATGATACCCATATCAACATGTGTCCCCCCCGTTGATACTCCCACAACCTCGTAACCCACTATTAAGCAGAGGGAAGATAATTTGAAGTAGAATAACATGGGATTATTGGCGGGGTGGATATGTTACGCACCGTTGAAGAGCTACCCAACACTCGATCGAGTTGTTCTTTCTCACTATCCGACTTCCATCTCAAAGCAACAGATCGGGCCGGACCATGCAAGATGCCATCCAGGTCAACTGCTGCTCCAATGCAAACTGCCAATCGGATCATAGTGGATGCGATGTCCTCAAATTCGTTGGAATCATTCGAGCTAGCGACTGCGACCGCCGCTAAGAAGCCGACACAAAACCCCTGGGCATCCACGATTCTGCACCTGTTCTGGGACTCTTCTTTGAATTTCCACACATCGATTATCTGTCGAATAACAGTGAGAGGCGTCATGAACACATTCATTGCACTTTTGGGAGCAGCTGTCGTCCCCTGAACACATTCAGCAAGCACCGTAAGTTGTGTCGCTCCAGGGATTGAGGATAAAGAGGACCAAGCATCTGTAATGGGCGACCATAGCGACGGTAGTTCTTGCAAGACATCCTTGAGGAATCCCAACGATGGATTTTCGTCGATGTTGCGGCTGATGTAAAATAAAGTTTCATCAATCTCGGAACTCTGGGGGCCGAAAACAACACAGACGGGCCGACCCGGGGTTTTGGGTGGTTCGGCCATGGCAAGTTGAATATGTAAAGCAAGATTATTGTGAGGAATAAGACAAAGCGAAGAGAGGCAGATACTCCCAAGTTGGTACCTGATGTTGAACAGGTTTCAGTGTCAAGAAGGAACCTTGTCCATCGAGGCACATCAAGGTTATAATGGAAAACCGAGGGTTTAGAAAAACAAATACCGATACGACCTGCATACAATATCTGAGCCAAAAGCATGTACGGACTCACCATAGATGATAGATAACCCGATATAGCAGTGTCTCTCCCTTGCTGTTTGACTCTAAAGCTGAAGACACAGCGATTCTGCACGCAATATCCACCCAGCTGCGGGATCTTCAATGGATCAGCACCTTATGGCGAATATACCGATATCCAGGGCTCACCTTCTCGGGGGTGGCTGGCTGATGAAGATAGACTATGGGACGGAACCCCCGACAAACTTCTGAGGCATCAGACTTTTTTAACTACACTCAATAAATATATTACATACATATGTACGGAGTATGTATGGTACGCTTAAGTTGTCGTTTCATTCTTTGGAGTGGTATCAATTGGTATTCTCTCGAATTCTAGTTCGCCCTGCCGTACGGAGTACGTACTCCGTACGGTATTTCGCTGATTTGTTGATTTGTTTAAGGTTTTCTTTTCGGATGTTTAATTTATTTCTAATTTATATTTTAATACGAGTCAATTATTTCATGCTAGGCACATCGGAATGTGACATTGGCATCTTGCATTCATGAATGTTTATTTATTTCCTAGGTTAGATAATGCTTAGTCTACACCCGTGCCAGGGAAGAAAGAGTCCGTGGGGATAGCATAGTCCTTGCTTTATCGTGCTAAATATATATCTTGCTTGGCTCTGACTCTATATGGAGTAATCCGTAGGCTGAAAGTGATTAGTTTGTTGTCTCATTTTTATTATGGCTCAAATAATTGCTTGCCCTAAAGCATACATAGCTATGGCAGCTTTGGGAATCGATTAGTTCCAAATTTGAATCATCAATATATGTTGGGTTGAGTACAGGTTTGGCTTACTATGGAGTATCTTCTTTATGCTTCCCCATTCACCGAGCCTTCAATACTCTGCAATCATAGACAAGCATTGGGGGAATGTCACCCAAGTTAAAGAATTTACTAGTCATGCTAGTGCCGTCATTGGTCGAACTGTTATAGCTCAGACGCAAGGCATACGGAATAAAAATAATTGGAAGATGATCAGACAGAGGGTAATTTCCCAGTACAAAAATTTCACAATTAGTTAGGCAATTGCACCCCATACAGGGATACTCTTTTGAAACATTATCCAAGTTTTCATCCGAATCCAGTTGTCAGCCACATCACGCATGGCTCCAGAAGAAGGCGACCAGGCGATGAGCCACGAAGACAAAGCTGCGTGTTCGTCTCTGAACATGACAAGCTCCACAGAGTTATTCGACGGAGCACCATCAAGTGAGAATGAGCGGCTTCGCATTCGGCAGGCTGCAGAGGACGCAATGCACCATGGATCTCCCAAAATCGACCCTCAGATCTGGACCGACGTGACTTCTCACCTCAGCGGTTCTACCACGATAGATGCCCGCCAACGGGACATTTTTTTTGAGAATTTGACTGTCCATGGAAAAGGATCCTCGCTACAAATCCAAAAAACTGTTCTGTCCGCCCTTCTATACCCCATTGCGTGCCCTGTCAAACGACTCATGAGCATTGTTGGTAACAAAAAACCCCACAATGATCGAAGAACAATATTACATGGATTCAACGGGATTTTAAACAGCGGCGAATTGTTGCTGGTGCTCGGTCGTCCGGGTAGTGGGTGCTCAACGTTCTTGAAATCACTATGTGGCTACCTTGAAGGCTTAGATCTCGACCCAGTCAGTGAGATCCAGTATAGGGGAGTACCATTCAGAGTGATGATTGAAAAGTACCGGGGGGATTTAGTGTACAACCAAGAGGCGGATCACCACTTTCCGAACTTGACAGTTGGTCAAACACTTGAGTTTGCAGCGCATGCACGAGCACCGCATAATCAAGTAGGCAATTCGAGTCGAGACCAGTATGTCAAATCCGTGGTGAAAGTGGTTATGGATACATTTGGTCTTTCCCACACATACGACACAAATGTTGGCAACGACTTTGTTCCAGGAGTCAGTGGAGGGGAAAGAAAGAGGGTCAGGTAAGCTCATTCTGTTCGGCTTGGAGCAAGAGGGGAGAAGGAAAGGGTATGAGAACTGATACAATAGTTGGTATGAACAGTATTGCGGAAACGGTTTTGTCACGGACTTCGATTGCGGCCTGGGATAACAGCACACGTGGGCTTGATGCAGCCACTGCTGTCGACTTTGTTCGGTCCCTTCGTACCTCAGCCAAACTAGCGGGATCTTGTCATGCAGTCGCCGTATACCAAGCCTCGGAAGGTCTTTACAATACCTTCGACAAAGTCATTCTTCTATATGAAGGGCGAGAAATATATTTCGGCTCTCGTCAAGGGGCTGTTGCATACTTTGAGACGATGGGATGGAAACGACCACCACAACAAGTGAGTGCGGATTTCCTCACAGCTATCACCAACCCAGGCGAGCGACAACCACAAGTTGGCATGGAAAATGCAGTCCCCCGCACCCCAGTAGAGTTCGAAAGTTACTGGAAGAACAGCCCGGAGCATGCAGAGCTGGAGACATCAATGCGACAATACAAGATGAAGACCCCTCTTGATAGCTCGGAGGAGATCAAATTGGATGAAATTAAGCGCCTTGAGCAATCAAATCATGCTCGAATATCTAGTCCCTATCTTCTCTCGGTGCCTATGCAAATCAGACTATGCATTGTGAGAGCTTGGCAACGCACTCGCAATGATATCCCGGCCTTGATTGCTACGGCAGTGGCGCAGACGGTGGTATCCCTGATCATTGGGTCTCTTTTTTACAATATACCAGAGAATACCGCTGGGCTCGGCCAGAGGGCATCGGTCCTTTTTCTCGCTGTTTTGACAAATGCTTTGATATCCTTGTTGGAGATCACCACTCTATATAGCCAAAGATTGATCGTGGAGAAACAAGCTGCCTATGCCTTTGTGCACCCTTTCACGGAAGCCATTGCAGAAGTTATTGTGGATTTCCCTATCAAACTTTTCCGATGCCTCTTATCTGCTATCATCGTATATTTTCTTGCAAATCTCCGGAGAGAGGCCTCTCATTTCTTTATCTACATTATGTTCCAGCTCACAGCAGTTATGACAATGGCCACGATATTTCGCACTTTGGCTACCGTTACCAGGACTATCGGACAAGCTATGGCTTTGGCTGGAGTCGTGATTATCTGCATTGCCGTGTACACTGGGTTTACCGTTCCTCAGTTCGATATGCCGCCATGGTTTGGATGGATCCGATGGCTCAATCCGATATTTTACACTTTCGAAGGCATTGTCTCCAATGAGTTCCACGGTCGCCATTTTGAGTGTGTGGAATATATTCCAAGCTTAAGTTTCGAGCAGGGACTATCATTCACCTGCTCATATGTGGGATCCATTGCGGGGGAGCGGTATGTCTCTGGGGATGCATATATTGCAGGCAATTACGATTACTCCTACGATCATGTGTGGAGGAATTATGGCATCTTGGTTGCTTTTCTTGTCTTCTTCTATGTGCTTTACTTTTGGCTCACGGAGTTGATCCCAGGAACCACACCGGCCCACGAAGTCTTGATCTTTCGCCATGGGGGTGTGCTCCAAAGGTTGATTCGAGGTGATCTGGAACGCGGAGAGTCTATACGTTTGCAGGAGGTAAAATCATTGGCCTCTGAGGTCCATTCATCAAAAGCAGAACAAAAGAATACCTTCAGCTGGAAAGGACTCTCTTACGACATTCCAGTCAAAGGTGGTGAAAAACGGCTTCTGGATGATGTTAGTGGTTGGGTCAAACCTGGATCACTCACGGCACTCATGGTATGCATTATTTCCCTCTTCTGAATCCATGACTTCCACCTCACAGGCATTGACATGAATATAGGGCGTTTCGGGTGCTGGGAAAACAACACTTATGAACGTTTTAGCGCGGCGTATGACTATCGGAGTTGTTACAGGAGATATGTTTGTCAACGGCCGCGAACTTGATGCTAGCTTTGCCCGAAATATTGGCTATGTCCAGCAGCAAGATCTTCATGTGGAGACGTGTACCATCCGTGAGGCCCTTCGATTCAGCGCAGCACTACGCCAACCCCAATCTGTGTCAATGGAGGAAAAATATAATTTTGTTGAGGAGGTGATTCAGTTGCTGGGAATGCAGAATTTCGCAGAAGCAGTTATTGGAAGTCCCGGTGATGGCTTAAACATGGAACAAAGGAAACTGCTCAGCATTGGAGTTGAGCTTGCTGCCAAGCCTCAACTATTGATCTTTCTTGACGAGCCTACCAGTGGTTTGGATTCACGAAGTTCGTGGGCTATCTGCGCGTTCATGAGGAAACTTGCGGACCATGGCCAGCCTGTCCTCGCCACAATCCACCAACCAAGTGCCGTTTTATTCGAGCAATTTGATCGTTTGCTGTTTCTTGCCAAAGGCGGAAGAACTGTTTATTTTGGAGATATCGGTAAACAGGCTCGGACGGTTCTAGAATATCTCGAGGATAAAGGAGCTCGTCACTGTGGCCCAACTGAAAATGTGAGTTCTTCGGCTCCTGACATACTTGAAATTTGCTGATGCCATCTCTTCTAGCCCGCTGAATACATGCTCGAGGTCATTGGAGGGGGCACCCAAGGGCAGTCTACGTCCATCGACTGGGTTCAGGCATGGAAAAGGAGCACTGAATACAACAAACTTCTTGGGGAGCTCGACATTCTCGCCTCATCACCATCCAACGGTGTGTCTGCTGACCCCTACATGGTCGGCGAATTTGCAATGCCTCTTTTAGTTCAATTCTACCATGTCATGAAACGCGACCTTCAACAATATTATCGCCAACCCGAATATATTTTGGCTAAGTTTGGCGCGGGTGTTTTTTGCGGTGTTTTTATCGGCTTCTCCTTCTGGAAGTCTGATAATTCAAGCCAAGGCTTTCAGAACGTTCTGTTCAGTTTGTTCCTCTTGTGCACAATATTCTCCACGCTCGTCAACCAGTATGCCTTTGCCCCAAGCTTGATGCTAACATCTGACGATACTGACTGCAAGCAGAATCATGCCGAAGTTTCTCTCTCGACGAACGCTATATGAGCTACGAGAGAGACCAGCTAGAACTTACTCATGGAAGGTGTTTATTCTGTGTCAGATCCTCGTTGAACTACCGTGGCAAACCTTGTTGGGGATATGTACCTGGGCCTCATTTTACTTTTCGGTTTACGGCAGCGGCCAAAGCTCCCAGCGGCAGGGGCTAGTTCTTCTGTTCACCGTACAGTTCTTCATATTTGCATCAACCTTTGCCCAACTTGTAGTTGCTGCAGTCCCCAGTGTGGTTCTAGGGAGCATGCTGGCTACATTCACATTTCTCCTGTGCCTCTTGTTCAACGGCATCATGCAGCCACCTAGCGCATTGCCGCGGTTCTGGATTTTTATGAATCGTGTTTCGCCTCTCACCTATTACGTGGGTGGCATCAGTGCCACTGCATTGCATGGTCGTCCGATCCACTGCTCTAATCGAGAGCTGAGAGTCTTTGACCCACCACAGGGGCAGAATTGCGGTCAATATCTGGCGGAATATCTCAAAACAGCACAAGGAACGCTCTCCAACCCGCTTTCTACCGATCAGTGTCAATATTGCCCACTTCGGGTAGCAGATCAGTATCTTGCTGCCCGGGATATCTCCTGGGATGACCGATGGAGAAACTTTGGAATTTTCTGGGTGTATATCATCTTCAACGTCATTGGTGCTGTTTTACTCTATTATCTGTTTCGAGTTCTACCCTATATAAGGAGGAACCGCACCCAGAAATCTCGAAACTGACCTTCTGATATCGGTACTCCACTTTCCTCTTCACCACTCTTCTCACCCAACTTTCATTTGTTTTCATTTTTCTCTCGATCCTTTTGTCGTTTTTCTATTTTCTCTTATAATATCTTTGTGTGAAAATTCCAGTTTAATGCCGTCTCACTTGGATGTTTGTTCAGTTAGGAAGTCAAGGGTGCCGTACTTCTTGGCACGGGGACGACGGGAGTTACGTAATGGGCGGATAAACCAATAATCCGCCTCGCTGTAGCTACTGGATGAGCAGTGCGTAAACAAGAAGCGCCTGGTATAGATACCGAATAAGAAGACACTTCGTTTATACGAAGGCGACGGAAAATCGTCGCAGCGCATAACAAAAACCAGTATCTCTGTTTAAGGCCCGGCGGGGGCCATATCCCAGTCTGAAATTGTTCATCGCATATTTACATGTATCGGGACATTCAGGTTTTCTGTATTTTCAATTCCCAGAGATACCAAATACAAGATGTACCCACACATGTATTTAATCGGGACGGGACGATCCTTTCTTGGCGTTTTGGTATCCCGGTACATTCTATACATACGCGAACTGATGCAGATTACAATTATTCAACTGTCTCTATCTTGCAGGATATGCAAGGCTTGATCGTCAGTATCCTCCACAAATATGTCTATAGGTAGTCGCTATTGGATGTGACTGTGATACTAGTGACGTTACTTCAGCATTACATCGGCAGCTATCGTTACAAATGGAGGTAAATACTAGAGGCGGGATGGGATGCAAGGAGAGATTAGGTTAAAATAATTCTTAAAATTGTAATGCTTATCTGGTATACAGGTAAAACGGAATCAGTCACTGCCTATCTCATGCAATGGAGTCCTGTGCGATCTGCCACCGAACCACAGCGCCAGCCTCTCTCTGCAAGGGCTAACAGTGCATTGTGACACATATTTCGTTAGTATGCTAAGCGGAAAATATTTCTATGTTGTAGAGTATGCGCTCATGTTGGGGGAGCTGACATACAGCTACTGGCCCAAGCCTGCGTCTGCAATGCGCAATGCGCAATGTTTTACTCGTTACCAAGCTAGGGTTATGAACCCGCATTATATTTTACAACCTTTTCATATATACAATCTCCGAGTGTATCATGAGTAGGTAGCATGGTTATCAGTCTTCTGTGCATTTAAATTTATGACCAAAGCTAGTTCTTCTCCCATTCCAAGTGTTCTTTCACAATGGCTGTCGACAAGTTACCATTATTGGCCAAGTTGGAACCTGTGAGCCTGATCGGCTTGGTCCTTCTATCGGGGCTATTTTTTTTATTGACAGCAACACGAAAGTCCGACCTCCCTCTTGTGAACGGAAAGCGACCCTTTGAGTTTGGAATTGCCAAAGCCCGCCAACGATATCTGAAGAACGCCCATGGCCTAATTACGGCTGGTCTAGAGAAGGTATGTGATTCAATTCTCATCTGGGTACATAATTGGGGTTACTAATGCGTAGGTCTAGGCTGGTGCATTTCGGATCGTGACAGAAAATGGCACTAGAACTATCTTGTCGCCTAAATATGCTGATGATATTCGAAGCCACCGTGATCTAAGCTTGAGTGCTGCTTTAGTTAAGGAACATCACGTCAATATCGCAGGGTTCGACGCAGTCAAGGTCACTGTGACATCTGATATCATTCAAGACACTGTCCGAACGAAGCTCACTCAGAATCTCTGTACGACATGGAAATTCTTCATTGGCAATAAGAGTTGCTAATACAAACAGTGAATATTACGGAGCCCATGTCAGAGGAAGCTACTATTTTGTTGAAGGCACAGTGGACGGACAGTACCGGTAAATGCTTCTGGATATGATATCAATCAGACACAACTGACTTATTTCATTAGAGTGGCATGATGTTGCGCTCAGACCCAAGACTCTCGGCATAGTCGCCCAGCTATCCTCTAGAGTATTTTTGGGTGACAAAGTTTGCCGTAATCCCGACTGGCTACGTCTCACTGTCAACTACACTGTTGACTCTTTGATGGCTGCCGCTGAACTTCGACTCTGGCCTGAGATGTTGCGCCCAATCGCGGCTAGGTTTTTACCTAAATGCAAGAAGATTCGCAAGCAGCTTGAGGAGGCCCGCAACATCATTCAACCTGTTATTGACGAGCGCCGACTGGCCCAGCAGGCGGCAATTAAGCAGGGGAAGCCCCAGGAGCGCTACCATGATGCGATCCAGTGGCTCGCAGAGAATACCAAAGACCGCACTTTCGAACCTGCCGCAATGCAATTGGCGCTCTCAACTGCAGCTATCCACACAACGACTGACCTGCTTACGCAGACTATCCTTGATCTTTGTGGACGAGAAGAACTTGTCCAAGAACTGCGGGAAGAGATTATTTCCGTGTTCAAGGATGGCAGTTGGGATAAGACCACAATGTACAAGCTCAAACTGATGGACAGTGTGATCAAGGAGTCTCAGCGAGTCAAGCCCATGGCGATCGGTAAGGAACTATTCATCTCATTTTAAAACAGCCCAGGCTAACCAACGATGGTGAATAGCTAAAATGGCACGTTGCGCCGAGGAGGATGTCAAGCTTTCCGACGGGACTATTATCCCGAGGGGTGAGATAATTCTTGTTTCCTGCAGTAAAATGTGGGACGCGAATGTGTACCCCGATCCCAACACTTTTGATCCCCATCGATTCCTGAAGCTACGCCAACAGGGCTCAGACCAAGAGAGCTTTGCTCAACTGGTTTCTCCCTCCCCCGAGCATATGGGATTCGGCTTTGGAAAACACGCTTGCCCTGGAAGATTCTTCGCTGCCGCCGAGCTCAAAGTCGCTTTATGTCATATCATCATGAAGTACGACTTTAAGGTGGCAGAGGGATGCAATCCACAGGTGTTGAAATCTGGCATGAGACTTGCGGCGGACCCATTTGCCAGAATTGCTATTAGAAGAAGGCAAGAAGAGATCTCTTTCTGAGCTCTTCCCAATTTCCAGCTCTGGCCGTAGTTGGCTACGAGTTCCGGTCTTTTGACACTTGATCTAGCCCATTATTCAACATGCATGTGTATTTTTTCCTGCAAACTCCATGTTTCTTACTTTATCAACGGAGCCAAAGTCCACAAATAATAGACTGAATAACAGAATAAATCTAAATTACCAGATTGTACTTTGCATGACCGGACCTTGTGGAGATGGTGAGTGAATAATAGCTTTTCTCGGAGATTAAACACAATTTTCAGGATCTGCTTTAGTATTTTAATCATAAATACTTTATTCAGGGGATATAGATGAAAATGATATATATCAAGTTACAAACATAGATGGAGCTGCCAGCCAGTGGCTGACAAATACGACATGCTGGTTGTTCTTATCCAGTCCGTCTACATATATCCCATAGTTACTAGTCTGCCATTTAGCATAGCATATTAATCACCTATCAATCTCCTCCTACCTATTTACGGACTATGAAATAGGCTGAACTACCGGACCTGTGTGCTAGGGGTTACGAATCTTGGATTGAGAAAGACGAGCTCGTACTATGGGTAAATCATTAAATATTATCCTATCGAAGAGCTCAACGGCTAGATGACAATGAATGAGATAGAAGCCCGAATTGCCGCAGCCTGATCAAGGGAGCCCATTACTCCTGAGCGCGCTTCCATTCTGCGTCAAGGTTGTTGCCAATTGCGTTAATGGCCTCCTCCTCGAGCTCACGGTGAGAGAGTCCGGTACGCTTGGAGACCTTAGATTCCGACTCTTCACGCGACATTTCCACTATGATCGAACATTGTCAGTCATCTATCTAGTATCTAAGAATGTGAGGAAGCATACCGTGTAAATAAACAGCGGCTTTCTTGCCAGTGTACATTGCATGCGGGACATTGGTGCTGCCATCGCTGTTCGCATCGCCTATGGCAAAGACACCAGACTCGCTGGTACGCATCGCGCTAGTAACATTGATCTTATTATCAACCAAGGTCAGGTGCATCTTGGCTGGAAGTGTCGAAGTCTGGACAGTTGGGAAGTTGACAATCAATGCATTCCGCTCGACAGGCTCGCCGGTAGTGAAGTGAAGGCGAAACTTGTCAAACTGCTCACCGTCCTCGCCCCTGCCATCGCCGCCATCCTGCAGGCGCTCAATGGAAGAGATTGTGCGGTTGTCGATGGTAGTGTTCCAAGCGGCAAGTTGTTCCTTCCAGTCTTCGACCTTTGCCGTTGCCCGGGCTTCGCCATCCGCGGTCTGCGAGCCGTTCACAAACGCGATGATATCGCTGTACAAAGTGTGGGTTTCCAACACATTACCCAGCATATCGGTGATATCACCGATCATTCCAAAGGGCTGGTCCCTGTGCTCGTAGCCATCGCACCACGGACACCAGAAGATACCGTGACCCCATCCCGCCTGAAGGCCAGGAGTCGCGGGTAGAACGTCACGGACACCGGTACCGAGCACAATTTTACGGGCAGTGTAGTTCTTGTCTTTGGTGGTCACTGTAAAGGCAGAGAAATCCCCCTGTGGGAAAGGAACGATGGAATCCACGGTTTCATTGGTAAAGTGAGCAGTTGGATACTTCTCGATCTGCGCGCGAGCTAGACCTCTGAAAGTAGCAGGGGGTGTACCTGAGGGGAATGAGATATTAGGTACCAAACATTGTGTTGGCATAGAATTAGGGCGCAATCTCACCATCGTTTCCAATGACATCGTGCATTTCCCTGGTCGGGGCATTGCGGTACTCCTGGCTATCAATCAAGAGAGCTGTTCGGCGGACACGAGAGACACCGCTGAGTGCACTCAGACCCGCAGGGCCACCGCCGACCACGATGACATCGTAATCGGTCTTAGGCACTTCCACAGCAGTGGCACATGCCACCAAGGAGACAAAAGCGGACGCGAATGTTGCTTTGATGAGGACCATGGTGAAATATACGCGACTGATGAGCTATCCTAAGACCGCACGGCAGCAGCAGGAAGGCCATTTATAGGCGTCCCAATTTTACCCACAATGTTTTATGGCCCAAACATGTACACATCTGTGGGGACACTAGTCGACTTCGTGCATCTTGGATTGAGGTGGCTGAAGCTGAAGAGATCGTCGGGATCAACAAGATCGTCAGGGATTCACAAAGATCTTGTTCCCTTGTGTATATGATCGCTGATCCCAAGCTGGCTGTATGGCGAGAAAATAATACTAACTGGCAATTTACGGAAGGAATGTGCTGTAGAGAAGAACTGTAGACCTCCTCCGTATGCTTGGTAGACTTAGGGCATAACCTTGCCAATACTCGATGAGCACTAGCGCTATTAGCTGCGGGCGCTAGTGTATCAACCGGCGATCTCATTGGCTTGGCGGGTCCGCTAGTTCTTGGCGGCATCGGCCCTGAATATGGACTTCCCTCGACTTCCCTCGGCACTTGAAGAAGTGACCCTTGCTTTCTACCTTTCATTCGAAACTCTAGAGACAAGCTTGGGATTACATTTAGAATGCGTTATATTACAGATAATTTTGATAAGTAGCAGGTATGGGAGGAAATATGCCTGTGCTACATTACTTTGAGTGGAATGAACGTGAAGGGAAATCAGTTCTTGTCAGGTATGTAGTGTTGTAACATCAACCTTCGAGTTCACCACAATAACTGCGTAGGTAAAATATAGAGGAATGGATACAATAATGCATAATTGAGCTTGGCCACTACTTAGGCCTAGGCCTTATAAATCCATGTCCGATTTCACAAAATTTAACAAGCCTGCAAATGGAATGAGGCAATAAACTAATTTTCGAGTCCAATATTTTTGCTGCTGGGATTGACGAAACATCGAATAACCAACCCGTTGGCCCTTGCATTTCAGAAGGAAGCAGCAACAGGATGTAAGGGTACAATGCTTACAATGCTTGCAGGTGCATTGGTGGGAGGTCGAGTAAACACAGCACATTGGTGTACTTCTAATTCTCAATTTTAGGATACTCGGAAATTCACAACATATCAAGCTTTATGAACTTAACGGCCATCCGTGGATATCAGTGATGGCAAGAAGTCACGAGTAGGATGAATAGTAGAATATGCAAAATGGGATATCACAAAAAGCAGAAATCTCCCGGTCTATAAGCACCGATGCCAAACGCCTCAATCTATCTAACAGAGTAAACTAGCTTTCCACATCTCCAGTTCTGACATCATAATTAAACATCTTCCTGGTCGTCAAGTAACAATACCTTCAGCTTCTCCAATTTATCTTCACAGTGCACTTCCATCTGCATCACCACGTCAACGGCATCCTTTCTGGTGATAAGCAGCTGCGATACCAGCCAAAAATTATACCCATTCCTATAGAACCCCATTGACGCCCATTCGGCACTTGTTATTCTATTACGCAGTGCGATCCAGTAATCACGCCAGCGGGATAGAGCAGTCCGGATAGCAACGAGGATGGAATCTGCAGGAATAGTGGTGACACCGACGCTTTTCCCGCGATTCTTGAAGTGGCCCCTGCATATAAAAGAACCGAGAAATGTCATGTGGGTGTTAATAAATGAGAATAAAACTAAACAGGGAGTCAGCCAGTGCAAGCAACAAGAATAAAGCTCTCTGAGACAAGGACATACTATGAATCAAGATAAACATGTCTAAAGCAGTGAGGTCCATTGGGTTAGATTCGGGTGCCTCGTCAAACAGGTTCTTAAATGCCTCCGAAAGCGTAAAGCCGCGTGAAAAGCGAAAGTTTGTCTCCGCGAACGGGTGCTCGGAGAAGAAAAGCAATTCATCACAGGGCAGATCGCATTCCATTTCAGTGTGTGTCAGGCGACACGGGTAGTTTTGAAAAAAGAAGAAGGCGCAATCGAGCAGCGAAATCATAGAAATAGTCCTGTCGAAATTAGTAAGGCGGACATGAAAAGATAATACTGGAAGATAAGCACCTAATCCGACACTCCTTTTGGATCCACAAGTGCTCCAGGACCTGGTCATCAGGAAGGTGACGGGATTTGACAAGTCCAATTCGTCGAGCAACCTTAACAACCTCACCGAATCGATTCTCCATTGCGCGGTTTCGAGATAAACGGTTCCCCGCCCAGTATTGGACAATGGTGATGATAAACCCAGCCTGAAAATTCTGGAACCATTCCCAATCACTGTTTTCCTCATCGTAGCACCGGCCACCCGAGAGCATGGCTCTGATTTCGGTCTCCGCCGAGAATACATCATTCGCAAAGATGAATAGCTCTGCAAGATCCAGCACTCTCTTAGCGATGTATACCTCCCTCTGGTCACTACTGTACATCGCGCCCATAAAGACTACCGCGGCTAAGAGCGGCAGGGGAACTGTCTCCGGGTCGAAGGATATAGGAAGCATTGCACAGCTAGGCTGCCAGTATTTGAAATAGAGCATGATGTATTTTCGTATGCGCGTGGTGGTCAGTAGAAAATTGAGATTCGCAGATAGTTCCTCCTGCGCTTTAGCATCAAGCGGGATCTGCCATGCTTGTGTCAATATTAAATGAATTAATGTCGTCGCGAACGGTCGCTCCGGTTCGAAGATAGGTGGATCTCCGGGAAATGTAGTGGGATGCTGCCCTGGACGGATGGCGGATCGGTAGTTCAGTTCACCAGTATGATAGGAATTTTCCGTGGGCTTCTGTCCATCACCAAAAGGGCCGTGGAAAAAGTCCAGGAATGTATCTTGGAAGAACTGCGGCGCGACAGGGTCGCAATCGATGAATCCAGAGCCGTATTCCGACCGAGCGGTATCGATGTTATATGGAAGCCCTATGCCCTGCAATTCCTCTAGGCCATTTGTATTATGATAATTGAGACTGCGTGTACGATCACTGTGTGGGGGAAGCCGGAAGTTTTCCGTGAAGCTGTCGGTGCCACCATTAAGTAAGAACTTGATCGATCCTCGGTCGGATGATGGCTCTTCACAGATTTCGGGTTTCTCCGGTATTTCTGTGTGATTTGCATGAGTCTTCCATTATAACCGAATTTATCAAGGCTTGTTGTACCTTTTTCAATCCCTAGACGGCTCGAGCCAGCCGTCCGCTCGTTGTTGCATATCAAGTTTCTCTTCTGACACGATCCGCAAGGACTTCGGCCATCGCATCGCAGTTTCATCGAGGTACACTATTCGAGCAGAATAAAGTTAGTACATATGACTGGGTTTCATAACGTCTAGTTGCGACTAACCGATTGACAAGCATGTCGCCGTCTACCCCTCTGACCTGTTTCTGGAATTTCACGATCCCCGCGCCTGGCGCAGTCGGTATAATGGACGCGCAGATTGTCACTAATTCCAAGTGTTAGATTGCCGAGTTGCCATTATAGATTGTCTCGGCTTGTCTAACCAGCGCGCGAACGAATCATTGCAAAATACGCAGGAATAGGGTTTCTGGCCGGAGTCTGTGGAGGTTCAGTATGTTGGATAGCTGCAGTACGGGGCATACATACGGCGCAAATGATGGCGTTTGAGGTGATCAATTCGCGTGAACGCACGCTGACAAACGTCACAGCGGAAGTGCTTGTCTGTCGGCTTCATGGTGGACCACCGGGGAGGAGGGGAATATCCGGGGTAAAGAAGAGAGAACGAGGCTGCACGGGAAAGGGTGAGGTATCGGTATTACATTGATGTCTGGAGATAAGAGGTATCCTTTGAGCCTTGATAACGCTAATAGATACTTGATAATATTACCGGTCGAGTATGGTATGGTCAGCTCCTGATCTTCATAGCAAATAATTCTTATTCTACCTCATGTTAGCATTCTGATCCAAATCACTCCGTAAATATTCTTATTTGCATGAATAGTTTTGATATATAAGATCATGAAGCCCAAGCCCGTCCAATCGTGGATGAAACCAAAGTATCAGAAGAGATAGGGGTAGATAGGTATTGTTTATCGTCTTGACAAATGCCCTCCATCACGTACAACATAGGCGCTGTTTGATGATAGCAGATGCTTTCTGAAGGCATCTTTTTTGATGCCTTTTTGATGTTCTTTCTGATTACTTTCCTATATGGCAACTAGAGCAAAAACAATAGAAACACGACAAGGGCAATCTTGTCATGATCGTATGTGATGCTACAAGGGATATAAAATTGAACACCTTTTGTTGAGAATTCATAATAGGCTAAATAATAAATCATTCTAGAGACTAGAACTAGCCGTGAGCGCTAAGAGAAAGCTGCTACGATAGGAAAGGAAGGACCCAAAGAAATATATAGCAACAACCTTGAATCATTTACGGTGATTTATTTCAGGACACAAATACGGAGGAGTCCTCCGAGTCTTGGCCTTGATCATATCGTAGCAGTCTCTCCACCTCACAATAGAACGGCTAGCCCTATTACAGACGACCTAGATCACCTTGTATCGGATTCAGGAATTATGCATGAAATACATTAAATTTTGTAGAGTGCTTGGGGTACTTTGTTCCGTATGATACTTTTGATTTGAGATCCTCAAGTCATGAATATTTCGATCGTATAAGTCATGCCCCTTCATGTTTCAGATTCTTTCATCAGTCAAAGTCAAATTTTGAAAAAAACCTGTCAGGCTCAAGTCTTTGAGGTGTAGAAATATCTTTTAATGGAACAAAGAGGCCTGAGTGTCCCGAGGGGTGCGTGACAGCATGCATGCTAGCCTTCTAAGGTTGACTTTCCTCCCCGTTAGCATGGAAGTTCTCAAGACCGTCAATATTTATGAGAGGGAAACATTCATATTTGATAGATTATACTGCACCTTCAATAGTGAGATCACCCTTTGCATGTAGGCAGTTGATGTACATACCAACTTACTACCCACTTTGAGACTCTTCCTATCAAAAGACTGTGGAGTGTGTTCAGCCCAAATGATTCTCAATATATACTACGTACGCATCCCCGTCCGAGACCGGGCTTTGAATTTGAGTTTCTTTGTCTTCTAACCTAGTCCTTCTCACCCTCGTCCCCGTCATCTTCTCATACTGTAAAAATTCCGAATCACTAGCTTCCACCGTACATATTGTGGTGACAGATCACCAACCCCCCCCCCTGTACAATGTTTGTGAGCCAGCTGGCCTGGCCACTGATGCTAGCTTTGGGCACCATGACAGTGGCTGCAGAAGCATCGACGGCAACTTCAACCTCCTCCTCGACCGGTGTCGCGACCCATACGATTCAGGTGGGACCTAAGTCAAATCCACATCAATTTGTTCCAACCAACATAACAGCCAACGTGGATGACATTGTCATCTTTGAATTTTACCCAACAAACCATTCTGTCGTAAAGGCAGATTATCTCGCTCCTTGTGTACCAGCAAGCGGAAATGTCTTTTATTCGGGAGCCTTCGTAAATTTCAACGAGAACGATGGACAACTTGTTGGGCCAGTGAGCATAATAAATTGGAATTGCATGTTTAAAGCAGTGTGGCTAATATATGCAATGTAGCCTCCGACTTGGTCCTTACGAGTCAATGATACTCAGGTACAGTATCTAGACCAAACATATGCCCACAACCTTGGACGGAGACTAACAATGGCTCCATGTAGCCCACTTTTTTCTATTGCACTGCAATAGATTCATGCATCAAGAATGGAATGGTCGGAGTGATCAACGCGGTATGACTCTTGGTTTCTTCCGAGCATGGATTCAGGCTGACTATATCAAACCTACAGAACACAACCCAGTCATGGGAAACACAACCCAGTCATGGGAAACACAACACGAAATGGCCCTGACGTACCCTTATATGCTAGTGCCAGGCCAGTCCATGCCCGCAGAAGGCGACGGTAGCAGTTCCAGCAGCGACAATAGCTCTTCTTCTGGCGGTAAGCATGGGCTTAGCACGGGGGCTATTGCAGGTATTTCTGTTGCCGGTGTGGTCTTCGTGAGCATATTGGTGGCACTGTTCTTCGTTTTAGGCCGCAACCGCGTATACTCGCAGTGGGTATCCTCGGAGGATGGACGCACGGAAAGAACCGCACGCTGGGCACTGTTCAACCACGGCGAGCTATACAACAACGGGAAAAGCGAAGCGGGGAGTAGTGTCCCAACTAACAACCTAGCCCCTGTCGATATAACCGCCGTCTCTAGTCCTGATCCCAATGTGTGCACATTGTCACCTCGGGCACGAGTTACCTCCGGTGCCGGTTCCCTACCTATGCAGCAGGGACATTGGAGCTGGAGTGAGCCTCCTCCGCGTGCCCGTGCAAGCGCGATGGCCACAGAGCTAGAGGGCCATCCAATTATCTGGGAGGCACCAGGCAGTACTCCGGAGTATCGGTGGTGAACAGGTTGAAGCGAGCCTCGTGGAGTCTTGTAATAAGCGAGGGTTATGGTGTTGGCTTCAATTATTTCCCTTTCATGCGCAAATGGGTCTCTGCCTTTCTTATATGTTATATCAATACCTGTGATTTATTGCTTGTAATATATAATTCCTTTTGAAGGCGTCATTTACCGTCTTTGTGGATAACGATATTTACCAGAGTCCTATCTACAGTTTACTTAGTGTCTGTGTTTTGTCGACATGACTCATCTGCACGTGGTCGGCGAGTGATTTCTGCATGAACATTATATGAAGGTTAGATCGTGAGGGTTGCGTCTCCATGTAGTATAGGTTCAGTGGAAGGAATATCGAGATGCGCTAAATAGACGATAATCGTAATAAAACCGACCATAACACAGTTCCGACCGCGTTAAAGGCCTTAGAGCGCGTAACATACGTATCGAGTTCGATCGAGATTACGGTATTATTGGTTAGCCGACTTCCCACGCGTCGAAAATTTATCTCCCAAGTGGATTGCACCTTCATAAACCATCATGTCCACACCATCAAGACGTTCAGCTTTGGGAATCTCGGGGACCCAGAAGCAAGCTCTTCGTATTTGGGCACAAAGTCAAAACCCTCGTCCATCACAATCGCAATGTTCTGCTTGGTTTGAACGAACCTATGGACGGAACCTCTCCCAATCGACCATCTCAACAATCCTCTCTAAAAAGTTTGATCACCTCGATGCTGGTCCGGCATCTACCTTAAGACGTCAATTGGCACCGCAATGGCCTCTCTTAGAGACACCACTTTGTGAGTGGCTTGCGAGCCAAGAAGCGGGCCTAATGCCGCCGGCCGATACTATTATTGCTAAAGCACGCGAAATCTGGAATCAAATTCCGGAATACCAGACCCTGGCACTTCCTCACTTTAGTAATGGGTGGTTGAACAGATTCAAGAAACGATATGCTGCTCAACTTCATGATCGCCAAGATGGCGTGCCCTCACCCACACCCCAAAATGGTCGCAAAGAAACGAGAGCACTGAAAACGCTATGTGGTGAATTCCCGGAAGATGATATTTACAACATGGATGAGACCGGACTTTTCTGGCGAAAGCCTCCATTTAGCGCTTCCCCCGCTCAGAACCAATTGACAACAAACAGGGAAAATTCCCGCATCTGCATTATGCTCTGTACAAACAGCACTGGGTCAGATCGGTTACCCCTTTGGGTCATCGGACATACGCCTATGCCAGAGGCACTTCAAAGGGCGAATCTCAAAGCCATGGACTGCCATTGGCGATATCATCGACAGGCTTGGCTAACGCAGTCGATCATGCAAGAATGGCTGCTCTTTTTTTACGACAATATAGGAGAGCGCAGAGTTTTGCTTCTACTGGATAATCATCCAGACCACCAAGCAGCCGTCGAGGCTACTCCGCCGCCTCCGAATGTGCATATTCAACTGTTTCCTACTCAAACTCGCACCTCGGATGAGCAACAGCCGATCAACTTGGGAATTTCCCAGACTCTTAAACATTACTATCGCAGGCAATGGCTTGCGTACATTGTGGCGGGTAGAGAATTGCCCCAAAACCCGGTCCACATGATGAGTCTTTATCACACTATATCCTGGGCCACCCGGAGCTGGCGTCACGATGTCGCGAACGCAATTATTTACAGGGCCTTCCGGAGGAGCAGTCTAATGGACCCGCAGATTGAGTTTATCACTGCCCCAAAATCACCCGATTTGACAAGTCTTTATGAGACCGCCACGCGAAACAATCCTGACGGTCGAACGGTTATCAGCCTCGAAAACTTTATTCACCCCGTGGATGAGGATTTTGAGGGCGGATTAAACGTTGCCGGATTTGTCGTTGAGGGTGAACCTACCTTGCAGGAACTAGATGACGCCATCGTGTCCATCCCGCCGGAGCAACTTGTACCTCCTGCTGTGGATGCAGTCATTGGGATACAGACGGCCATCCGGTACTTGGTACATCAGCCTTGGATCACTGCGATGGACCTTCAGGGTCTCGAGAGGATAGAGAGAATGATCAATCGTCTCGCTATTGAGGAGCGACGACAAGCACACGTTGGTGGTTTCGATTGAAGAAGCGACTAAGGACGGTGACAGTCGTCCTGGCAGTTAGTGCCTTCATCTCGACAATTAATCAACCTGAGCTATGAAATCGTGGGTTTTTTCTTACTCGGGTGAAAGCTCTCAGAGGAAGGAAAGTTACATCTCATATATGTCCTGTGCGTTATGAACATATTGCAGAGCCTGGTACAGGCCGAGCTCCACACAGTTGACCTTTATGAGTGCCCAATATCTGTAGTTAATAGCTGGGCTACGTAATTTCAAGCGCAGCACCAGAACTGATGTTAGAGAATAATAGCTCACTACCACCGGGCTTACCCAGGGTCTAGTGTACCATCTCATACATTGATATTCCGAACGAAGGACACCTGATTCATCCACCGGACTCCACGCTCGAGCCTTATTCGAGAATTAGAAGGTAATATTATCAGCCTGCAGCATTGACTGGCTCGTTTTTTTAAATTGTTGGAATATATTATGCTGTCTTAAGATATAATAGATGTCCAAAGCTCCCGTATCAAGACCTAAACCGTCCTTGGGATGCAGAATACCAATCAATTCTTGAGGTTTTTCTATTTTAAGCTCACTCCAATGATTATATGAATATCAGATTTCAAGTTTTCTGAGCCGAAATAGAAGCATATCAACTCCAGATACACTGTTGTGTCTATTTGGCTCTTTGTTTATTCCACACTGTCTATTTAAAGCAAAGGAGGATCCGTTATGTTGTTGATTTTGGCCTAGGGTCGATCCGTCAATCTCGCGTTCTTGGATCCGTCGGCGCTTTTTGCAGGATTCTCTCAAGTTCACGAGTGTCCAGGAGTTCATAATATCAAAGATGAGCAGGTCAACTGGAAATGATCCCCCCAGGGTCTCCATCAAGGCAATCAAAGCACAAATCAGGCATTGCATCCAGTCGTTGAAAGACCTTACAGTAAGTTATCTTGGGAGGAAAGTGTCAAGCAAGGCGGACTGCTGACTTTTGATAGCATTCCATAATGCGAGGCCGCGGCGATGATACTCATGGGTTCACGATGCTATGGCCCAGAAAGACCGGTTCCGATGTCGATGTCGATGTCACGATCGGTTGCGTGGACGCCGGATCCTACAAACAACTTTCGAAGGCGGCCAAATGTGCCAAAGAAAAGAGGGTCGTGGGGGGGATCAATGAAAATGATAGGTGAATTGTTGGGAGTGGAATGATAGGGCAGCCCGAAGGCGCACAGTGGTGACTAAGAGCTTGCAAAGAGAAATTGAAGACTTGACAGGGACATCGTCGCTGTCTGTCATTTTGAAGAGTAACCAGATGGGAGCCGGACCAACATGGTGCTTTGATACTTTCGGGTTATTGACTGGAAGGTTGCGACCATTAGGTCCGTACTCGCCAAGGAAATATGATGTGATAGACATTATCATTTACCTTTCGGTGCCCAATGTACCAGAAAAAGGCCAACAAGAGAAACCTACCTACATGCAGTGAAGTAATTTGGAGTCGGACCTAATAGCTGAGGGTTGATGTTTGGCTCTTCGATTGGTCGGGTTCAATCACAGATTGGCGCGCGGCTGCTCACAACACCTAATAGGTTGGAATTGTGTGACGGAGGATGATGTGCAGGAGTATACCAGGGTGTAGATAGAAAACAAGTGTCCAACACATGAATCGCCGAAGGGAATCGAATTGAACAAGAAAGAAAGTACTATTCAAAATGATATCATATATAAAACAGGCTCCGTAACGGGGAATCGCTTTTGTGTTTCAGATAGGGTCCGAGACCAAAAAAAAAAGAAAGCCAAAGGAAATATTTTACTCTACAGCATCAGTGATACAGCCCAGGCTGGCGTCCTGGACGTTTCTGGCATATTTACCCAGAGTACCACGCATGGTAAGACCGGTCTCAGGGAGGTTTCCAGCAGCCTTGCGGGCTTCCCACTTCTCTTTGCGGTCAGCAAACTCAGCATCGGAGAGTTCAACATCAAGAAGGCGCTTGTTGGCATCGATGGTGATGATGTCACCATCATTTACAAGACCGATGGGACCACCGACGGCAGCCTCGGGGACAATGTGACCGATCAAGAAACCGTGAGAACCACCGGAGAAACGACCGTCAGTGATGAGAGCACAGGAGTTTCCAAGACCATAGCCCATGAGGGCACTAGAGGGCTTGAGCATTTCTATAAGAATGTTAGCATTATAGTCGGAGATCAGGTAGATTTGTTGCACATACCAGGCATTCCAGGGCCACCCTTAGGACCGCAGTAGCGAATGACAACAACGGTCTTCTCCTCCTTCTTGATTTCCCCACGCTCCAGAGCGGCGATGAAGTCATCTTCACTATCGAACACCCGGGCCTTTCCTGTGAAGGACATGCCCTCCTTGCCGGTGATCTTGCCGACACTACCACCGGGGGCGAGAGAGCCACGGAGAATCTGAATGTGACCGGTCTTCTTGATAGGGTTGGAGAACGGGCGGATGATCTTCTGGTCCTCGGGGAAGCCAGGGAGCTTCTCCAGGTTCTGGGCCATGGTCTCACCAGTAACGGTCATACCAGAGCCATCAATAAGACCCTCCTTGAGGAGCAGCTTCAGGAGTGCTGGGGTACCACCAACGGCGAAGAGATCGGCCATGACGTACTTGCCAGAGGGCTTGAGATCAGCCAGGAAGGGAATGCGGTCGGACACAGTCTGGAAGTCATCAATGGTGAGCTTGATGCCGACCGAGTCAGCAATGGCAATCAAGTGCAGCACAGCGTTGGTAGATCCACCCGTGATATTGACAACAACCATGGCGTTCTCAAAGGCCTGACGGGTAAGAATATCGCGAGGGCGAATGTCCTCGGCGAGCAGCTTCTTGATGGCACCACCAGCGGCGAGACACTCAAGATACTTGGCCTGGGAGTTGGCCGGGTTGGAGGATGAACCAGGAAGGGTCATACCCATGGTCTCAATAGCGGAAGCCATGGTGTTGGCAGTGTACATACCACCACAAGCTCCCTCGCCGGGGCAGGCGTGGCGGATGACGTCAAAGCGCTGGGGCTCGGTGATCTCCTTGGTAAGGAACTGACCGTAGGCTTGGAAAGCAGACACAATATCGATATCGGCGTTGTTCTGGGTAGCAGCGCAGCCGGGCTTGATGGTTCCACCGTAAACCATCAAACTGGGGCGGTTGATACGGCCCATAGCCATTAGAACACCGGGCATGTTCTTGTCACATCCGGGAATACTGATATTGGCATCGTACCACTGTCCACCCATCACGGTCTCAACGGAATCGGCAATAAGGTCACGACTCTGCAAAGAGTAACGCATTCCAGAGGTACCCATACTGATTGCATCACTGACACCGACAGTGTTGAATTGGAAACCAATCAAGTCCTGATCCTGGACACCCTGGCGAACCTTGTTGCTCAGATCGAGCAAATGCATGTTGCAAGGGTTGCCGTTGAACCACACTGACGAAATTCCGACCTGGGCCTTGTTCATGTCCTCCTCCTTCAACCCGACTGCGTACAGCATTGCCTGGGAAGCACCCTGTGCCTTGGGTTGGGTGATGGTGCTAGAGACCTTGTTGAGGGGTTTATCATTCTGGAAACGAGGGAGAGTGGTTGAGAGAGACCGACTAAGAAGAAGAAGAAGTCAGTAACCGAATTGACGCGACACAATTGAACCAACTTACACAGGGTTAGACCTGGACAGGCTCCGAAGAGCGGCGGGCACACGGGCCCGAGTCTGAGGAAGCATGACGAGGATGGATGAGAGTATCCAAAAACCACCAGATAGAGCGATACAATCGGAAGTCTGAAGAAGAGAGGGGGACAAGAAATAAAAAGCGGAAGCTCAAGGGAGTGGGTCGGTCAATCGGTTCGACAATCAAATCGGAGAGAGGCGAACCCTCCCCGCCAATTGGATACGCGTCGTTGTCAGCCCGTTACTAGGGGAATGCGCACATCAATTGATATTTATTCGCTATATTAATGAACGAGGGAATGAAAGAACAATATAATTAGAAAAGAAGCGACAGGAATGGGAAGGGAAGAAAATGGAGAGAGGAGAGAAGACGGAGGTTTAAGACACATGGGCGGCGTCGACGGTGTGGTGACTCCGAGAGTACTACTATCAGATAGAAAACCTCATCAATAAACGACAAGATATGTCCAGATTCTATTCTCATTTACTGCGCGAAGAGTGCCTAGTAGCTTCTAGGTAAACCGAGTACCTTCTCGCTCACATAATTCAAGATCATCTCCCGACTCACAGGTGCGATACGAGGCACGAAACAATCGCGCATATATCGTTCGACATCGTACTCAACCGCATATCCCATACCACCATGCGCCAGAACTGCCCGCTCACACGCCGTGAAAGCAGCCTCTGCAGCCAAATACTTGGCACTGTTACACGCGACACCAATTTCATGGAAAGGCACTGATCCATCGTTGGTATCATAGAGACGTGCTGCGTGGTAGGTAGCCAGCTTTGCCGCCTCCAGTTTCATGAAAGCATCAGCCAATGGATGCGCCACACCCTGGTTCTGACCAATTGGCCGTCCAAAGACAACACGGTCCTTAGCGTACTCCGAGGCTTTTTCAAGGGCGGCATATCCAAGACCAAGTGCTTCACCGGCCAAAAGACATCTCTCTGCATTCATGCCGTGGAGGATAATCTTGAAGCCTTGGTTCTCCTCGCCAATTAATGTATTTGCAGGAATCTTATAATTATCAAAGAAGACCTCGTTGGCATCCACAGCGCGTCCACCCATCTTCTTGATCTTGCGCAGATCCAAGCCAGGGCTATCACGGTCTAGATCGATACAAAATAAGGAGAGACCCTCGCTGGTCTTCTTAACTTCTTCGAGAGGTGTAGTTCGGGCGAGAAGGATCATCTTTGAAGCCACTTGCGCACAGGTAATCCAGATCTTCTGGCCGGTGACCGAATATCCGTCAGCGGTTTTGCTAGCCAAGGTTGTGAGTTTGAGGGTCTCAAGGCCAGTGTTTGGCTCGGTGACACCAAAGCATGTGCGCCATGTGCCGTTGATAATATTCGGGATGGTTGTCTCTAGTTGTTCCTTGGTGCCAAACTTGGCCAATGGCTGTGTCGCATAGACGTTGGCGTGAATGGCCTGAGCACCAGCCATACCTGCGCCAGACTGTGTGATAGTCTGCATCATCATTGTGGCCTCGGAGATACCTGAACAAGGTCAGAAATATGGATGAGAATAAGAAATCTGTGCAACTGTACCTAGACCAGCGCCTCCGAGGGATTCGGGCAAAGCAATGCCAAGCCATCCATCTTTAGCCAATGCTGCATGGAATTCCTTTGGATCTTTCTCTTGTTGATCACGCTCCTGCCAATATGTATTTGGGAATTTGGAACAAATATGGGAGATCGCTTCGCGGACTGTAAGCTGCTCTTCCGTAAAGCCAGTCATCCCCATAATGTCGCGCCGCCCTGAAGTGGAAAATGCCGCGCGACCTTGGGGGTATTTGCCTATTCGACATAGTCCTCGCAAAAGTGCAGGCACTTGCGACCGTAGCGCGCGTTGAAATTGTAGATACATTTTACGTTGAACCTTGGGAGGAGCTTCTCGGCTCAAAACATACCCCGTTCGCATATAACCGACTAGCAGTCTTGGCGTTCTCGGCTTCGAATCAAGTCGACGGGGTTTCTTTTGCACATATTCGTGTCCTATTGACATGTTGCTATCAAACATGGCCAAAATTCAAGTAGCCGAGCCGAATTACTCGAAAAGACAGCTGCATAGAAGACCAGCGAAACTACCATTGGGCGACAGGCTGGACTGAAGTCTCATCTGCGAAAGCTACTCCGTACACGATTAGCGAAATGCTCAAGGAGAAGTGAATATCCTCAACAACACTTGAGAATACGATGAAATCTTCAGAACTTATATATATTCGTGCCTTGAAAGAAGTTAAGCACAGTAGCATTCATCGTTCAGCCACGTCCTGTTCAGCCACTCTATCGCTTGCATCCGGACTCTGCTCTTTCAACAATTCGAACTTTCGAACGACTTGAAGAGTAGCATAATAACTGAACGGTAAAGCTATGAACCACAGACCGAGGTTGATACTCGCCGTTGCGATCAACGCTGTTGGTACAGCCTGCACGCCAAATCCGACTGCAACGGCAGCAGTTTCGATCCCCCGAAGCAATGAGCTGTATCGAATTTGATCACCTGGTGAGTCCGACAAATTTCCGATACACCAGTAAATATAATTCTCAACCAAGCCAAGACTGATGCGCTCAAACAGATACAGGCCAAACCCACGACCGAAGGTGCGTTGATCACTCCAGTCCAACACGGGGTGGGTGTGTCGGTACTCGTTCTGGATAATGACCGCCCAGATCCATGTCGCAGTGTTCATGAGTGCAATAACGATGAACGTGACAATCGCTCTATGCTTCCGATTTTTCATCCAAGGCAGGTCCACCAATGAGCCACCTAACCAAGTCGCCATCGTTCCCACAACCGCCGACATGAAGCCTCCGAGCGCACGCGCGCGGACTGTGAAATAGGTCGCGAGATATGTGCCAGGGTATGCTTGGATCCAACCAAAATACCAGAATAATGGGACAAGGAGCAAGATCGACTTACTCCTTGCCAGCCGCCACATCGCACTGAGCTCTTCACGCCAGTGGATGCCGCGGGGGGCCTCGATACGCGTTCCATCATCTCTTTGCACTTTCTCGGGATTTGACAAGAGAGGGCCAATGACCAGTCCAAGACACTGGATGGCGATAAAAGCGAGATACGTCTGGTACCCAACCTGGCCGCGTTTATCGACGGTGTGGTTTATGCCTAAAGAGACCGCACCACCAATGATGTTGCCGAAATTGCGGAACGTGAACCACGTTGCAATGTAGCGACCACGTTTGTGATGCTCAGGGTATCCTGTGGCGACAGCACCCTCAACGCTCCAAAAGAAACCCGCGCTGATGCCGCAAGTGACACAGCCGAGATACACAAGCCATGTTGCACCAGTGCGATTGTTCAAATACAATCCCGCTGCGTACAATGGATATCCAAGTGACCCCAGAGTCAGGGTCCAGCGAAAGCCGATAGCGTTTGTGATGAATGGACCGGCGAAACAGGTCAATGTCATGAAGGCGAATAGTAAGGCGTTGGCCGCGTTGACCAGGTCTGGGCTCTGGGATCCGCCCACGCCCAAACCATTCATTGCAGTCCATATACCTGGCGCGCAGAATGCACATAATCCTACGACCAGGATTTGAAAAAGTGTACTGTAAAAGAACTTGGGACGAGGTGGTGGGTGTTCATCTTGACTTTCCACGGTCGTTGACACATTGGCTTTGTCTTCGGAATGTACTGATGCAGACATGATTACAGCCTGGAATTGCAGCCGAGTAAATCACTGCAAATATGATCCCTGTCATACACAGGGCCTAGTAAGTCCATTTTATATGATACACTCATTGTATAGCCCGTTTATTGGCACGATGCCTAGACAAGCACGCAAATTTATAGGCGCATGGCATAACCACAATCCCGCTCGGCAATTGACGATGAGGACATAAGAGCTTGAAAGGTGTCTTCTATCACGAATCATGTCAAGGCTACCCCATAATATTCCGCTATCTTGGCAGTTGTGAGGGGTCGGGCTCTCGACTACAAATGCATGGCATGCGCTTGGCTGGGTAGCTCAATCTACGATATTATTTTTTACTTTTGCAAAAAAAAATGGCCACAACTACAGAAGAACTGCAGATTGAGAAACTTCAGTTGGAGGACTCTATCGTCACATTCGAGTCCTTCGACCTCCCAGCTTCCAACCAACGTATCCTCGGACAACCACATCCCAAGAACACAGTTATCCCGCTTGCGCTGCGACCTGCCAAGTCCGACGCCAAGGCAACTCTCGACGATTTGATAGAGACAGTCAAGACTCTCCAAGAAAAAGACGGCATATTGACCAAGAAGCTCGCAAGACATGGCACGCTGCTGTTTCGCAATCTACCAATCCACAACGCAGAAGACTTCAGCAAATTCGCGCACGCCTTCGGCTATAAACCCCATGAGATTATTGGTATTGTAGTCGACAGACCAGTTCTTGCGCCAAATGTTGCGCCTGCCAATGAAGCGCCCAAGGAGGTCCTGATATACAACCATAACGAGTCGCCGCAAGTCCCACATGCGCCCGAGTATATCTTTTTCTACGGACATCATGAGCCGTCGAAAGGCGGGGAATCACCGATATCTTCTTCGTTGGAATTATTCAATCGCGCACAGCAAGAGATCCCCGAATTCATCGCTGAACTGGCGGAAAAAGGAATTCTAAGTAAAGTGACATACCGAGTGGAGAAGCAGTACGAAGGTGGATCCACACTGAAGCAGGCCTTTGGCAAGGAAGTCCAAGATCATGACGACGAAGAGACAAAACGACGCAAAATCGAGGCTCAGATCGCGCGCTATGGCAGAGGGCAGCATACTACGTGGGACTGGACTGATGACGGTCTTATCTTGACGCATCGGCTACCTGTCATCCGAACACAGCCCGGTACAAACCTACCAACTCTCTTTACCGGGTTGGCAGCATATTGGAAACGTACACAGTTCGATGCCGAGGCGCGAAAAAACGTCACACAGCAGCTCTTTGGAGATGGGACACCTATTCCTGAAAAATATCTTGCACACCTGGCGAAGATCACGGATGAGATTCGGGTTCTCCATCGCTGGCAGAAAGGTGATGTTTTGGTTTATGATAACGTCATTGCACAACATGGTAGAGAACCGTGGCAAGGCGAGCAGTCTGATCGAGTGATTATGGCCAGTTTATTCGATGGTGAAAGCGTGCCGGGCGCTTATGGATTTGGGGATTGGGCGCAGGTTGTGCAAGCACTTGATTGAAAACCATTTTTTTTATGACAACACACACTTCTTACTCAACATACTTCTGCTTCATCTTGACTTTCCTGTCGTAATTTACTATGGTGTCCCTATAGTAAGATATAGCTTACGGGGGACTAAGTATACCACCGGGCATAATCCTCTTATTGCCAGGTAGTATTTTAGATTAGTTGAGTACGGAGTAGTCATGTTGAACATTGTATCAAGTTACAGGCCATATACTATATACCAATAGTGAATTTGAATCGCTTACAAGTGGTAACTCTATGTACAGTCACTCCGCAAAAGTCTCCGTCAAATGAGATAAGCGCCCACTTAACTCTTTATAGTACCAATTCGAATCCATAGGTTTTAATAGATTCGACACCCTTATTTAAACTAGCTAATAAACTATCAATTTTAGTATTTAGAACGAATATGCCTCAGAGGGGTTCTTGGAACCATGCTTGATTTTGAAAAAGCATTGGTCAGGTTAGCAAACGCGGTTGCAAACTTGGTAAAAAAGAAAAAGATACCTAGGAAAACGCGCATGTAGGGCTAACTGTGACGGAGACTTTTGCGGTAGAACTGGAACTACTAGAGGTTATACAAAGCCACAACCAACTGATCTGCACGTCTTCCGTAGATCCGATGAACCTCGCTCAACCTGGGGAGAGGATTTTCCGAGTTTTTCTCCCTCAGGAAATCCAAGACTCCTGGTGTTTCAACCCAGCAAAAACGTTGGCCTCGCTGTGTGATCCAGATGGCGGCCTCGAGTGGACTCCCGAATTCCGGCCTAGCACCATTGTGCGATCTGTTCACGACAGCCTCAATGGCATCCTCTGGTCTATCAACCAAAGTTCGCCACCAGAAGAAATTCGTCTGATGAATCTTTTTGTATAGGGCGTCGACTTGGGCATCCAGTCTTGCGATTTCGGCAGAAAGATCGGGGCTGCTCATAATACGACGATTGGCCTTGATTGCCGAGCTTCGGGGGATATTTGCTAGGATTTGGTCCAGTACCTCCTGGGGGACCTTCGGCCCAACAGCTTGTCGGGCTTGATGTAGATCCTTGAGATCGAGCAGAATCTTGATTTTCAACAGAGTCAAAGAGAGAAGGAAAGTGATGGTGTCTGTGAAATCCATAAACCTAGTCTCTATGTCCAGAAAGTAATCAACATCCTCAAGAATATCGGGGTTCTCAATAGGTGTTGGTGCTATTTGCCCAGGAGGGTGGTCTTCAGATTCCTCCCAGAGATACCAGGACTTGATGAATCCATAAACCTCCTCATCCTCATCGAGACGAATCCAGAGAGCTGAAACCGTACCAGCCGCGTAGTATTTATCGGGATAGTAGAGCAGCGTCAGCTTTCACAATGCAACCGATGCTCTGATAGAACTCTTCGTGTAAGCATACTCCATGCACTCCTGCAGATTATAAATTGCCATGAAGTATTTGTTCTTATCAGGTGCGAATTAGCTATCCGTCAACAGGAGGGGCACATTGGGGAGCGAGGAATCGTGAGGGTGAGGTCCCAGCCGAGCCTCGATGGCTTTTACTGTCGCTTGAGTCTGTCGAACATAGTTACAGAACTCTTTGTGGTCTTTTCGATGTTCGATCTGGTGATCTTTACTGCAATAAGATAGCACCCTACAGGCAGTGCAGATTTTCAGGTCCTGTTCTTTATCGCAGATCGCACATCCCGAAGGTAAAGACGCCTTTGATTGAACGGTGTGGAACAGGAACTTCGGCTGTTGGACTGTGATCGGAGCTTGCATCGTGTGTACTCGAAGAATCTCACAGCCCTAATGGAAGGGAAAGGGGAAATGGATCAATAAAAAAAAAGCATATTTGACAGACAGAATTTGGACTAAAACTGGAGTCTGGCAGAATAAATTGACGCCTGAGTTATACGGCCTTAATCAGGCAGAATCAGGTAGAAGCAGGCAGCCCTATATCCAATCCAACCAAACAGTAATTCCCTCCAGCACATCCCGGTACTTCATGTAATAAGCCTGGCCCAACATATGAAGCTTCCGCCGATCGGTCTTTTTTGATCTAGTACGTGGGACTCTATCAATTAGGATATACAACCCAGGAACATAATACTTCGGCAAGGTCTGGCGGACCGCGTCGCTGAGCGATTGGGTGAGCGCATGCACAGCGTGTCTCTCGCTGATCGGACGGAACTCCATCTCTTCAACTGGACCGCTTTCCATGTTCATGGGGTTATTTGTCAAGTATAAGAATACGGCAAGAATGGGATCGCCCTGGCCGTCAATAGCTCCAAGAACGTCGACGACAGCAAAATCACCGGTGGATAAGTTCCGCCGGAGGACGTACTCCACTTGGCCAGCTTCGACCCGCGCTCCGTCGAGTTTGAGCATACTATCTTTCCGGCCCATTAGCTCGATCGTCCCATCATGGTTGTACCGCCCTAGATCCCCAGAGCGATATAGGCGGTGGCTTGGCCTTTCGGGGTGGAGCCGGGCCATCCAGACGGGAGGCGTGGAGAGGAAGTTCTCCGATTTTCCAGACACGTGGTCTAGATATCCCCTAGAGAGATGAGGACCCTCGATGAGGAGCTCGCCCACGGCTCCGACGGGCATCAGCTGGTCAGGATTATCGGGATTGACGATCCAAATTGTACCGGTAGCAGGGCGACCGACTACTGACCCACGACCCATCTGAAGATTGCGGTTATAGGCGCAGAGGGAGGCTACCTCACCCATACCGTATTGATTCACTACCTGTACGCGGCCCAGCCATTTTGCCAGTACCGCGTCTGACACTGGCTCACCACCAATACACATCATCTCCAGGGTGGGGACGCGGTCTGGTTCCATATCGATGGCAACTGAGGGTGTTATGAACATTATGTTCCCCTCCAGGTCGTTCATGTCATTCATGAGGGATTCCATCGTCAGAGATTTAGTAGGAACACAGCAGCATCCGCCGGCAATGAGAGGCGCCAAAAAGTCGTTGTTGCTGATATCGAACGTGTATGAATCGAATTGGAACATCCGGCTATGTGGTCCCATATCCATGACTCGGATGTAATCCGTCAATGCCGAAGCGTAGCTACGGTGCTCCTGAATGATTCCCTTCGGGCTTCCTGTGCTGCCAGATGTGAAGAGTACAACGCAAGGGTCGGTGGGCGTGACGGTCGAACAAGGGACTGATGTCACCAGTGGCAAACTGGAAACGGAAGCATCGCTGACCTCGAAGAGGGTTTCAATCCGGTCGCCAAATCTTCCTTTATATCCTTCTGAGGTGAGCATGATCTTTATCTGGGTGCGCTCGAGAACAGAGGAAAGGTATGGTGGTGGGTCACTGCCATCAACGCAGATGTACGCACCACCAGCCATGAGAACAGCCAGTCTAGCCACAATGGCCCAGGTGGATTTGTAGAAGGCACAAGCGACATAGATATTTGGTCCAACGCCTTGTCCCACTAGCCAATGTGCTAACCGAGAAGTTAATTCCTCAAGTCGGCGATATGTCAGATCCCCATCCCAGGAGCGAACTGCGGGAGCATCAGGGGTTGTCTTGGCGTGCTGTAAACAAAGATCATGTAGGAGGGAATCATGCGTAGGGCCGATAGCTCCAGTGAATAGGGTAATCTGTTCACGATCTTGGGGCGAGCATAATTCAAGGCTACCGATGGTTTGTGTAGAAGAGCCATCAATTGACGAGAGAGCCCGGTTGAAGCTGTGCAAGAGGCTTGTAGCCATTGGCAGTCCAATATCAGTGTTTCCAACATCCAATCGGGCATGTAACATATCGTCGGAGGTATGGTGTATGGAAAGCTGGAGACCGGGGAACGAGTCTACCTCCGTTGACTCTCTCGCCGGTGCGCCGCAACAGACCTGGAATCCGTCCACGCATTGATTAGACAGGGTGCGCTCCGCCGGTTGCTTCTGGTAGAATATTGTCACATTGAAGCCGGAATTCTCGCCGACTTGGTCTGTATGGACTTCCTCCGTGACCCCCATATGGGATAATGGGACTAATGCTTCAATACTCTCGCGAAACAGATCTCCCACGGTATCATGAGGATCTACGTGGATCTGGACGGTCGGCTTCGAGTAGCCATGAGCCGCCTCGCCTATGTAGCATTGACCCTTTGGATAGTCCTGACCAATGTATAGGGTTGTCGAGCAGCAAAATGCTCTGATTGTAGTGATCCAGGCCAATTGGAGTAGTCGCTGGATATGAATATCCGGATGTTCTTCCTGGGCGGCTAGGGGAGGGAGGTTGAGGGCATCGGCGAGGTGCAGGAGTCGCCAAGGACGTACCTTTAGGGTGAGGTTGACCCTATCGGTAGAAACATCATTGACTGCTACCTTCAATGGAGCAGTACTGAGCTGGGAAACAATTGTGGGTTCAAACAGGACAGGAGCCATGATGAAGATGAAGATGAACTGTAGCAAGTGTGGAGAAACAAATCATTACATTCTAGTATTAGGGAAACTCTGGCCTAAATGTACGGCCTGGACAGGGACGAGGCATGCAGGAGATGTCTCATTGTGAACATGCTCTCTTGGCACTACTCCCTTTGTTGAACGAAGTGGGCAATCAATAAGACCTCGTTATTGACGCCACAGGCATTTACTGCGCGAATCATAGCCATCGGCATGTTTGGAGTATGTAAGATGTTACTCCCAGGGTGATCAATTCGTGCTCACGGAGTGTTTGCTCTAATGTGAGAGCTTGTATTTGGATATGGGCTGCCTGAGCGAGCTAGCAGAACGGGCAATTCGAGCCGGGGTTTTTGTGGCACTCTGCGAATAAAAATCCAAATGGTAAGGGTCAAAAGAGACAAACCTAGTCTGGCCAATCGACTTCGAAGAATACCGTTGATCTGCAGTGTATTTTGGCACTCAGTCAACCCTGGAGTAGGGAGTAGTACGAGGAGTCAGCTGCACATAGAGTCAATGCACTCACTCCGTAAGATATTAGGTGAGAGGGAATTGATTTGGCAGATCTAAACTTGTCTCATGAATTATATTTAATTCATCAAATCAAAATTCCAACTAGAATATGAGGACCTGTGAAAAGGAGGCCGAAAATGACCACCCGTGACTTTGGAGGGCTAGCGGGCGCTTCACCGCTCACTGTCGAGTACTGGCGCCGTTAGCCATCATCTTCCGTGATGTTTTGCGTTCAACGGTCGTGGTCCACGCCCAAAATGGCTCCCTTTTGCAGTCCCAGGACTAAGTGAAATTCCACTGATAGTAAAAGATCTCATCAAGGAATAAACTCCAGTATCAGCCTCCTTGAACTTGTCAATACCACCGACAATGCCGTCTTGGTCCACTTGCCAATCACCCATTTCCACCCGTTCAGCCCAGCTTTCTAAAACCTTGTGTAGATATGAGCTACGCAAATCCCAAGGTAAATAACCACTGTAGCCACCGAAAAGGTCCTCCTGGTAAAGTTGATCAGGCCGTTCGGTTCCCGGAAACCTAGCACGTTTGAAAGGAACACCTCGAGCAAACCCATTGCTGCCGATCAACTTTTAGACGGGATCGAAGCGACATCCCATCCAGCCCCAATCCATGCATATTTAAAAATCAGGTTGTGAAGTTGGGCCGATAAATGGGGGTCAAATGCAGTGAATGACATGGCTGAGATGTAGGTCTTTCTGGACCTCGGGGTTATGGTGGGAGATGTGGAAAGAGAGGAACGGTATCAGCCTAACAGGATTGGTTCGTACCCTTTACATTTTGCCATCTCGTGAAGATAGGTAGGGGCCAGGGTTACTTTCATAGCGAAAATTGTTATTATATTCAGGGCATTGAAGAAGGGTTATGTGCAGCGTATTTGGGCACTAAACCGAAAGAGACAAATCTAACAGGATACATAATTCATAGGTCCGCTGTGTAGATGAAAGAATTGACAAGTCCCAATCAATCAGACATTCTGCATAATCCCAGGGTGAACGCCCTCAAGGATCGACGACAGCTCAGCCCATAGTTTCTCACGGGCTTGACGCCCCTCTTCACTGCGCACAAAAGGTGAAAGCGCAGTATTCTCGACATGTCCATCTGTCATATATGAACCGTGGCTTTCGAGTCCAGCTGCACCGCCCGCCACCAGCGTTCGAGATCCAACCTCCGTGGATCGCGCCAATACCATTTTCATCAATTTGAACTTTAAGCCAGCTTCCCGTCCGAGTTGTGAATGGCAGAAACCAGGATTGATCATGTTGATCACTACCTCTGATCCACGCACACGGCCCGCCAGTTCCTGCACAAGTAGCACCTCGAGTAGCTTCGATAATGGGTACCGCTCGTCCATCTTGGCTTTTGTTTGGTCACTGACGAACTCCATTGGCTGATCTTCCTTCCATTCTGGGAAATCCACCCATGCGTGTACTTCACTCACAACAAAGGTAAGTCGGGGCGTGCGGGATGGATTCTTTGTTCGTGTGGCTTTCAGGGTTGGCAGGATGAGGAGGCTGAGGAATAGAGTGTTGATGACATTAACCGTGAGAGTTTGCTCATACCCCTCGGCAGTGCTAAATTGCGCTGTGGCAACTGCTGCATTGAGAATGGCTACATCGAGCTGGGGGAGCTTTGAAATGCGCTCGCCAAAAGCAAGGACCGAGGCGTGGGAAGCCAGATCGACCTCCCACACTTCACAGATGCTTGGGCGGCCTGTAGATTTTTCAATGTCCTCTTTTGCTTCTTTTCCTGCAGTCACATTTCGGACGCCAAGGATCACTCGTGCTGCACCTAGTCGCGTGATGTGACGTGCAGCTTCTAGCCCTAAGCCGACATTGGCGCCGGTGATCAGCACCGTTTGGTCGGCGAAAGACTGTGTTGGATATGTAGGAGTAACGAAGAATTGTGAGTAAAGGAAAGCCATGATGAGTGGATATTTCGATTGAAGATTCTTCAACGATGAAAAAGGGTACTTAAATAGCAGTGGGCTAAATAGGCAACGAATGGCCAACGTCATGGAGGGCTTGCGATCCGGAGATTACCGGGGTTAAGCTCGTCCGCTCTAACATCCTATCTCCATGACCTCGGCATTCGCTAAATCGATATCCTTATGACCGAATATAGGAGAGATCACTATGTCCGAACAGAAAACTACAACTGATGAAATAATGTGGATTTGGCTGGACACTTTAGGTATGAAGGGGTGTGGTAAGGGTGAATGCTTGCAACGGATGTGAGGCGAGACATTGGTGTTATGTGATTGGGTATGTCCGCTTCTCTTACCCAACATGACTTGAAAGTCTACTCTGAAGAGGTTCCCTTTCAGAAAACATGGGGAGCATATAAACAACGACAATCCAACAATTCCAAAGTCGAAATGTCTGTTTATCCCCTAGAACAGAACGAATCAACAGTGCCCTCAAGGCCACCAGTGAAGCCAATGCCATGCTGAGGATAAAACAAAGGGATGAAACTTCCCAGAACATTGGACTCCATATTCCCCAACCGAGCATGGGTATTGCAATGGTCCACCGCGCCGCAGTATCACCCCAGACTAGAGGCACAGTTCGCCGACCGCGTTTAGCATCCCCGGCTTGATCGGACATGTCCTGCAATTGGACTGTAGAGAAAATAATTCCGATGACGACAAGGAGCCACCGACCTGACCAGCCAAGCGGGTGGAGAGGGAGGAAAGAGCCGCCCAATGCCACTTCCATCGCTCCCGATGCGAAACAGGTAAATCCTAGTCCATTGATAATGTTCCGAATGACTGGGTTCTTGTCTGCACCACCCCAGTTATTGTACCACACCCCTAAACATATCAAAGCCACAGAATTTCGGACTCCCCCGGTGAATGCAAGGCTATATATCGGGGCAAATATACACAAACTGATCATAACTCGCGTGCCCCACTCGTGAGAAACCCGACCGCCGGGAAAGGGGCGCCATGGCTTGTTGAGACTGTCCTCGGCAATGGCTCTTTGACCCCGTTGGTTGTTGATAGCGAATAGAATTAAGTTGACCAGAATCCATGATAATGTCGCGACAGCTCTTCCAATAGACTTTGGAGAGTCGCTGATATTCTGCGGAGGAGGCAGAGCCCCTGCAACATGTGGGTCGTATTTCGACGCGGCCCAAGCGTTTGTGATTCCGAAAATAGTGTTTGGTATCACAATGGTTTTAAAATCGCTGAAGAGAAATAGCCAGAGGGTATATGAGTGGTACCACAGCGAAGTCAATGCTCCTTGGACAATCATGGCACACCGACCCATGACGGATGAGTGTTGATGTTTCAGTCAACGTTGATGGTATATGTTATACCTCTGGCGTGAGTCGGGCTTTTATATCTGATCAGGTGCAATCCAAGGCTTGAGGCCGCAATTTTGGGAATCGAGGGAACTACAAACCGTCAAATGAGAGACTAAAACGAGAAATCGAGCACCGTGGCCTTTTTGATGTCTCGTACAAGGCCCTGAGTTTATTCTAACCAGAATATATTGCCACATTAGGGTACCTAGATAGATATTCAACGAGGCTGGGTTGTGGCCATACTCTCCGATGGCCGAGAATAAAGAGTGTTGTCCAACATTGTGTTTTGCTTCTCTTTCACCCTGACTTTTATGATGAAAGAGCCCTGATTGGAGCTACTATTGGACTCGTCCCACTTTGAGGCTCGAAATAGCCATTGCTACAGTTCCAAAATATTCTGTTCGATCGATCATGATCATGCTAGCTTCAGGGGCAGTTGCAATTATTGCGGGGCTACTGGCCCACCAGCTTGTCTGTATTCATGGAGAATGGCATCTAAAGGGGCCTAGGGTCGTTGTTGTTCATCTTCTTGCCAGTATTCTATTATATGCAACCCTTTTTGTTGGTCACGGAAGCACTGGAGCCAGTTTGGTTCGGACAATATACTTGACGATATGCTATATCTCATCCCTATTCACAAGCATTGCAGTATACCGACTCATGTTTCATCGATTGAAACACTTTCCAGGTCCAAGATTGGTCGCGTTGACTAAATTATGGCACGTTTGGCAATGCCGTGACTCGCGTGGGCATCTCGTCTTGCAGGCTTGGTACGAAAAGTATGGGGAGTTTGTGCGTACCGGTAAGATATATCGCAACCCAAGTAGGACTCCTGGATAACGTTGAAATTGAATTTTCAGGTCCCGCCGAACTTACCATATTCCACCCCGAAGTCTACGAGGCCGTGGATGGCCCTGAAAATCGCAACACGCGTTCTGATTGGTACGACCTTCTATATCCCCAGATATCCTCGATCTTTACACGCGACCGACAGCTTCATCATGAGCGTCGAAAAATGGGGGAGCAAGCACTGAGCAGAAAAGGTCTGGTGAACTCAATGGCTTACAAAAAGTCGAAGACTGACACAATCATTCAGCATTGCTCCAGTACCATCGGCGGGTGCTAGAAAAGGTACGCACACTAAAAAGCCTAGTTGCTTTGGAAGAATCATGCCCCGTTCTCATCAACGATCTGATGTATTTCTTCGCTTTTGACTCAATGGGTGATTTCGCCTTTAGCGAAGATTTTGGTATGATGAGGAACAAGAGGTGGCATTCATCGATAGCGATGCTGCGCTCGGCGCTCACAATGTTGGGTCCATTCAGTCCTGCGATATGGATCCCGAGATTGGGGTTCGCGTTTATTCCTTCGCTGTGGAAGGTCCGGCACTGGTTTCATATGCTCGAATTTTGTGATCAGTGCATGGCTCGACGGATGGAGGTACTGGAAACCATACGAGAAATCTAACATCTGACTAACATGGAGCTAGAAAACACTCTCCGATCACAATATTGCGTCTTGGTTCATCGAGGACCATGTCAAACACGGATCAGATCCCACGCGGGCGCGGTGGTTGAGTGGTGATACTGCAACACTAGTTGTAGCTGGAAGGTCAGTATGGTTAGGTTATCATGAGGCAATGGACTGATAACTACAGCGATACCACCGCTCCAAGCCTAACGCTTGTCTTCTATTTCCTCGCTCGCTATCCCATGCATGCTGAGAAGATATACGAAGAGATCCAAGGAGTTGATAGGGAGAACCCAGCTGCATTGGCCATGTTGCCACATTTGACGGGCACTATAAACGAAGCCATGCGATTGCTTCCAGCAGTACTTACCTTCAGCTCTCGAATAACTCCACCGGAAGGACTGATGATAGATGGCACCTTTATCCCAGGAAACACCAAAATATGTGCACCACGCTATACAATCGGTCGACGTGAGAAATCCCTTGTCATCTCTTCAATCGGAAATACTAAACTGAGCCTCAAGTTGAGACGGCATATGTCAACCCCCATGAATTTATTCCCGAGAGGTGGTACAGCCAACCGGAGCTTATCAAGGATAAAAGGGCATTTGCTCCTTTTGGTGTCGGTAAGCTACAACTCCATTGACTGGTGCGGTCAGATCTCCCATGTGCCAGTTGCGTTGCATGGGAATAATAAGAGGCTCGCGTTCTGAGTCTTTGTTTCGACAGGGCGTACAAGCTGTGTTGGCCGTCATTTAGCTCTTGCACAGATCCGACTTGTAACTGCTGCCTTGATGTTTCATTATCGAATCAAATTTGCACCTGGTGAGAATAATGGCGAGGCTGTGGAACGAGATATGAAGGATCAATTGACCGCGCAGCCTGGTGCTTGTCGGCTTGTGTTTCAAAGTCGGGTATAGGTAAGGTGAAACAAGAGGATGTGGAGGTAATATGGTAAATCATGGCTCTTCATTAATCTGGTTCGACTTCTTTGTAATGTTACGTGAGAAGTGTTGAACTAGATATAACATGCAAAACTCCTGTTTTCACTTTCTACTCAGGCCGGAATCCCCAGGCAACGTGGATGTCAAATGTGACATAACAACCAGATTGAATATCCGCATAAGCCCTCTGCTCCAGCTCATCAATCTGCCACATGTGCAGCGCACCTGGCGACCCTCTAGCAGAATGAAGGCGCGCCCACGCGAACATAGCCCTCATCCCATTTGCAGTCAAGCGGGTGCGTGTATCATACACGCGATCCGCAGAAACTGCCTCAGTGTGGACCTCTACTAGACCAGCATTGCGCATCTCGGTAGCCAGTCGATTCCAGCCAAGCTTGAAGCGGGGTCTCATGGCAGTCATGAACGTAAATCCCATTGCACTCGCAGCGTCAGTCGTAGAAGTAGCGCTTCCGGGGAAGTGGCGAACGTTAGTAAAGTCGCACTCTTCCCACTGCATAGCACCGCCAGGCTTTAGCAGCTTAGCAAGATTGCGCACAGTTCTCCCCCATTCAGACGCTGTCAAGCCGGCGGCAATCAGTCGAATGTGCACGATATCATACTGTCCGTAGAGGTTGACGGGAACATCCTTGCGCGCGTCGAGAACGTGAAGAGTCACGTTATTAGGGAGGGTTCTGGCGGGTGGATAGAGCGATGTTGATATGTCAAAGCCGTGTAAGATTGCGTCGGGCCAGTCATGGGCGAGGTAGCGCAGGAAGGCTGCAGTGCCGGTGGCGATGTCAGCCACTCGCGCATGGGGGTGCATTTTATCTCGAACGGACGGGTGCAGCAGGTAGCCGATGTTTCTGTTTCAGCAGGAGTCAGTAAGGTTTGATTTTGGGCTGATTTGCAACATAGGACTTGGCGGATTTGCTTACTCGGTGAGGAGGGCGAACTGCTCATCGAGTCTACCCAGTCGATGTTAGTATTAAATGTTTTATTGGTGCTGGTGAGCTCTTACCGTTGCGCTTCGGTGGAATCTCGCTGCATATTCTCCGCGTATGGATCCATGAAAAGAGACATTTTGGACAGCGTACTTTGGATCAAACGGAAGGTCGGTGTCTCGGAATGTACAAATAAAGGGAGGATGCAGGACGCTGCAGCGGACTGATGGGAAGAGTGAGATCTCGATGTGACCAGGTTACTCTAATCTTTGCCTCAGAAAGACTGAAATTTGGTCTTTTACTGCAGTCGCCAGGGTCGCACCTGCTTTCGCAGCTGAACCTCTGCTGATCCGCGCATTGCAGGAAGTTGAGGTCAAGGTTATCACGTTGTACGAAATGAACTCTGCGGTATTCATGGACGTTTTCCATATCTGACATCTCTGTATATGCTGTCCTCTAGATTCAACCCTAACAGATTAGTTGAAATGATGGTATCTCTTGAGTTTAGAAAATGATTCCTCTCGACACTTCTGCTAACAGCCCATACCGCCGAACAACTTTGCTTTATATTGTCAAATATTGTCATTAATTATAATTCTTTCAAATATGATCCACTTGAATCATCGCTCTCCGGTTCTGATTGTTTGGAGTGTGATATTCTTCTTCGTTGCTGCAGTAGCTGTTGTACTTCGACTTGCCTCCACACATATTCGACGTCGGGGGTTGAAGATTCATGATTACCTTATTTTCTTCTCACTGGTAGGTTTGACTGGGGATTAGGCTATTCAGCCGGCTAAGGATAATGCTAGGTGCTACTGACCGGCTATGTGGTGGATATGTTGATTGGTAAGTTGATCCGATCGACTCGCTATGCAGCAAAAAGAGCTAAGATCTTATATCAGGAGCTACTACCTCTGGCTATGGCGGGCATACGGCTACTATGGCTGTAGTGCAACCCGGGAGAGTTGGTTAGCGCATTGAAGGTACCTCGTCTCCTTGAACGTTTATATGAGGTATCGACCTGGTTAGATTTTCTGGGCATCAGAATGGATGTGGGCAACCTCGACAGTCTGTTTTAGGCTCGCCATACTCCTTTTATATCTGGAGATCTTCCCGGGCAATCAGAAGTTCTTCTGGAGTGCAACCGGGGTGGGATGTCTTGTCTTCCTATACTGGGTATCATCGGTATTGACCATCGCGTTGCTCTGTCGCCCGGTCGCCTACAACTGGGATCGCACCATCCCAGGGAGCTGTGGGGATATTTTGAAGATACAGTATGCATCTGCAGGGTTCAATATGGGAATTGATTTGGGAGTTGTGTTGCTGCCGCTCCCTATTGTTTGGCGGCTGCAAATGTCGAGTCGCAAAAAGACTGGTGTCACTGCTTCTTTCGCGATAGGCATCCTGTAAGCCCCCCACAAGCTCACTCTTATTCTGTTTCAGTTGCTGACCGCTAGTAGAACGGCCGGTATCAATCTGGGCCGCATTATTCAGACCAAGTTGTGTCCAGCTGACGACCTAATCTACTGCCTCAGAGACTCCTCTATTTTTATCATGGCAGAAATGACAGCAGGAATCTTGGTGGCTTGTGTTCCAACATTTGGGCCCTTATTGTTTCGCAGGCGAAACACACATCCAGCGCAACCACGCGATTTGCCCACAATTGGGTCAATTAGAATCCGCCGTCGGCCTGCGAAATTCGATTCTCTCCTTTCTACTCTCGATCGCAGTCACTATGACGAAGAACGAGACCATACAAAGGAATTGGAGTATGTGGGTGCGCCCACAGCACATGCTGGGACTGGGACTGAGAATGAAGCCCCAGAGACTGGCATTTTAGTAACACACGACCTCGATGTGCATAGTCTGAATGTTCTGCCTCGAGTATCTGAGACTTCGACTGTTTGAGAAGCAGCGATTTTCTCAGAGTGGATGTTCAAGATGCAAGTTCCCTTTTCCTAAGAGATCTGCAGACCTGCCAACGAGAATATGCTCCGTAATGCATGTCCGATTTGTACCACCCTTAGATGAGTCCGAGCCGTTTGTACTGGCCAATTTGTGAGAGTAAACAAAAATACATAGTTGAAAGATAAACCAATTGGATCAAGCTTTCCCTCAACTGGGAGAGTATGGTCGTGAATTTTTTTCTTTTCCATCAGGCACCAACACCTGGGCACGATATAAGACTGTGAGACCACGTGCGGGGAAAACTCCTTGACTTTCTTTTGCCCCAACTCTCTCTCTTTCACAACTCACCATGCCTTGCAAGTCCTTTGTGGTTGTGCTCTGCCATGGCTCTTACCATACTCCTGCCCCGTACCAAGCTCTTGTTGATGCCTTAACTGCGAAGGGCATCGAGGCTCATTGTCCCCAACGGCCCACTTGTGATCTCAGTCAGCTTAATATTGGCAACCCTAGCAACCCTGATTTTGATCGCAGGGCTCCCCCAGGAGGCTATCCACTCCCCGCAGATGATGCGACAGAGATCGGGCTGCTGCTAGACAAGTTGATTGCACAGGGAAAGTCGGTGCTACTTGCAGGACACTCTTCCGGTGGCTGGGTTGCTGCTGAGGCTGCACAGTCTCATCGCCAAGCTCCTGTCCGCCTAAGGGAAGGAAAGACTGGTGGTGTCATTGGAATCTTCTTTATCGGGGCATTTATTGTTCCCCAAGGCCAATCAGTGAACTCATTCTTTCAACCCCCGGGCGGTAAAGTTGTTGTGCCTCCGTTTATGCAATTTCATGTCGGTTGACCAGTGAATGAATCTTTGTTTGTAAGTACTGACCGTTAGTATAGAAACACGGTGTCAATGGTCTTGGCACCATGGTCGACCCTGAAGAATACCTCTTCAACGACCTCGATAGTGCCACTGCAAAGAAGTGGGCATCCACGTTGACAGCAGCTCCTGTGATGAACAGTCCCCTTACCCACAATCCTTATGACGTGCTCCCATGCGCCTATGTTGTGTTAGAAAAGGACCGTACATTACCAAAGGAGTACCAAGAAGGAATGGCGGCGAGTCAGAGCAAGCCGTTCACGATCTACCATGCACCCTGTGGTCACTCACCACACATAAGTTGGACAAATGAGCTCGCTGCGAAGATGGAGGAATTTGGAAACCAGGTTCTAGCTGAAAGAAGCACGACAGATTAAGTGAATTTCAGAAATAAATCTTTCTTGAAAATATACAGAAGAGGAAACATATGAGTTACACTCGAATCCCAAGGTTTGACGAATAGGAAGGTCAAGATATTTGTGCAACGCGCGCGTCTTCGCTTTCTAATGCCTTTCTACTTTCTTGTTTCTTCCTCTCTCCGACGTTATCAACTACTTCCCCATCTCTCCATCCATCCAGCCATGGATACCCCTCGCTATGTGTTCGGCGCACAAGGATTCGGTGTCGCCTGGACAGTTGACAATGTTGACCACTTGATGAAAAGCCTCGCGGAGGCTGGAATCCATCAATTCGACACCGCCGCCTTGTATCCCGCTACCAATCCTGGTGAATCTGAGGAGCTGCTGGGTAAAAAGAAGCCAGAGAATGCAGTCATCGACACAAAGATTCTCTTCATGGGCGATGACTCTTTGTCCTTCAACAACATGGGAGCCTCGATCGAAGCCAGTTTGGAGCGACTGCAGATCAAGCAGGTGGGTAAAAGGCGCCCACTTACTTTGTGTGCAATGCTAATACGGCTATTACTAGATTCACACCATCTACGCTCATGCCCCAGACCGCAAGACCCCGATCCCGCTTCAGGCTGCTTACTTCGACCATTACTATCGTAAGGGCTACTTTCAGAGATTGGGTCTTTCGAACTACAGTCCGTCCGCAATCCGTGCCTGGATGGAAATCGCGGTAGAGGAAAACTTCATTATGCCTTCCGTCTATCAAGGCCAGTACAACGTGTTCTGCCGAGGCTACGAGGATGAAATTTTTCCCGTACTTCGCGAGTTCGGCATTGCCTTCGAAGCAACCTCGCCGTTGGCAGGTGGATTCCTCACCGGGAAGCTTTCCTATTGCCCTTCACCCGAAGAGTTAGAGGGTACCCGTTTCGAGGTCGGTGAGGGCAACATGCTCGGTGCAGTCTACCGTATGTGGTATGACCAGCCCGTCTATCACCAAGCGATGCGACGATTGGACAAGATTGGTAAACGGCTAGGAACCACCGGGGCCCAATGCGCCCTGCGTTGGTTGCTTTTCCACTCCAACCTGAAGGATCCCGACCGAATTGTCATCGGACCAAGCACCTTGAACCAGCTTCAAGACTATGTGGACGCCCAGAAGGCCGGACCACTTCCAGCTGACGCAGCGGCCGAGATCAATGCGCTTTGGCCGGCCCTCAAGGAAGTTGCGGCGACGATCATCGAGAAGGGATGGTGGTCTCTGTGATTGATATGTTGAACTTGAGGGTGATAACGACCAAATTTCCAATGGATCACGAGGTATTCATACGCCGCCAGGCTGGTCTACAAACATCTTATCCAGTTAAGCCTTATGCTCACAGACACACACAAACTACATGCAATGGTATCTCCCAGTTTTTCACACGTATTGCTCCTATGATATCATTCCCTCTGGTGATTTAAGACCTACACAATCGCCCATTCTCACCCAATCTCCAAGCCTCACTACCCACAGCCTTAAAAGCGTAGAACCTATTGTGAGGATCATACTTTCTCTTGATCTCTAGTAAACTGTCATAGTTGTCTCCATAAAATGCATGTTGCCAATCCCTTTGGTTTGGATCTGCTTCGTTCAAATATGCACCACTTCCAGGTGTCAGGTCTTCTAGCGGTGGCATAAAAATATCGGTAATGAGCTGGTGACGAGCGACATTGCTCTCCCAGTCAGTGTAGTCGAACAGCCTGGATTGAGATTAACAAAGACTTGCCCTAACCCTGGAAGGGAATGGGAATGAATTGCATACGCTCCAATTACGACATTCATCAACGCATCTCGCCAGGTTGGGTTGACACTGTTGTCGGGATATGCAACTCGAGATGAGTTGACCATAACTCCTGAAATGAGAACCCCGGCGTTTCTTTCGACAACATTACGGAATGTGTTGACAAGCTCGCCCAGGTTCTGCTCGACTACAGATCTTGGAATCAGGCGGCCACCAGCAAGTTGATCAGTTATGTTGTCTGGTGGGCTCATCATCTGGTAGGCGTCGTAATATGTCGGGAAACCGTTCACATAGTATGCTCTTCATGCTCTGTCAGTGTTCGCTCCAACTCTGTATCGCCTTGTACTTACTGTGCTGTATGTTCTTTTGTTCGAGGAATGAAATCAAAGGTCTAAAAAGGGAATTGAAAATTGTCGCTGATCTGCCCGGAATGGTAGTAGGCGTCATTGACAATGTAGTGTTCATTAACCACCAAACACTTGCACCCCCAGCATCCCGGACCGAGGGAAGAATCGAAATAAACATGGCGACGGCTGCAAAGAATGTATCTCGCGATACACCCTTGTCGGAGAATGAAAGGTTACCTGACGCTGTCGGCAGTTCAGGGTAGGCCTTGCTCGTCATCGACACAACAACACCATTCGTCCCTCCACCTCCGCCGGACAGTGCCCAGTAGAGATCCGAATAGTGTGTTGGGGATGCGGTCACTAGCTTCCCATTTGCAAGAACAACCTCCCATTCCAGGACTTGATCCGCGGCGAGTCCCACATGGGACACCAATTGGCCATGGCCGCCGCCTTGCGAATATCCTCCAGCCAGCCCAACGGTTGGACAGTTCCCGCCGACGATAACAAGCCCAGCTTTATAAGCGGCGTCGCTGGCTTCGAAGGATTGGACCCCGGCTCCCATCTTCATAGCTTTACCGGAATATTGTGACGAGACGTAATCTACGATGGAAATATCCTTCATGTGATGCATCCAGATCGCCAGTCCTCCAGCTCCAGTGGACTTCCCAAGTAGGTCATGTCCTGTATTACGGATGACAAGGCGGATGTTGTGACGAGCAGCAAAATTAATTGTCCTCTGGACATTTGCGGGATCTGTCACGTTCACAGCGTACTCAACGTAGTTCCCGATCGCGCAAGGTGAAGATTTTGACGAGAAGGGATTGCAGCGCAATTTCATGAATCCGGACGCCATAATTGACGAGGAACTTTCGTAATGCGTTGCTGGGAATCCCCAATTGGACTGGATTTGAGCGCATTGCGATTGGTTGTACGGGGTGAACGAGGCGATGTGACAGACGCTGGCGATTGGGACTGTCATAATTAACTTGTTGTCCACTGTTCTGTTGAATCGTGTTCATCGATGATCCTCAGGCCAGCAGGGATCGTGTGGCATGCAACGACAGGCAAGGGAACTTGTGTGATTCCCGATTGAAAGACCACAAGCCACAGTTGCGGCACGAAGGACAGCTAGGCAGAGCCGCATACATGCAAGAGAAGGGTTGGCCATTGTGATAATCGGACTTCGGCTAACTTAATGTCACTCGAGTAGCAGATTATATACAAAGACATATTCTGCAAAGTGGAAACCAGCCTGTACGCACTACATGTAAGACTTTGATATACACCGAAAATATCACATCACTTCGGCCCTGCATAGGTAGCTGTGACTGCAAGTCTGACTCTGAGCCTCGTGAGGTAGGGCATTAGTTGAAATTCCACGGAACAAAACACTTGCTCATCTTATATATGTCTTGTCTAAGATTGGTGTAACCAGGTATGTGCGGAGAGAGTGCTAATTTTATCACGATAAACTCGAAAAATTGGGGGCTGGCTTATTATCTTTGCATAGTCAAGTTTACTGCAGTCTCTTGCGACCTATACCAGCCTTTGCATTGAGTTGTTTGTCGATGAAGTAAAGGGCTATAGATAGATCTGCTCACTTCGGTGAAACACAAGAGATAATAAGCGCTTAGTACAGCTATTGAACGTAGAAGGACTGTATTGAACTGACACTAGAGTCTGACCATAGAATGAATGTGAATGTGAGATGAGTGAAAGGCTCAGGGATGAATCCTAATACGAAAGATACTATTCACGTTCGTTGACCAGGGATATATATCACTGTACGAAGTACACGAGCTTGCAAACCCCGGATGGTGTTTTTTTTTGGAGTGTTTACACCTTCGAATATTACCATAAAATATGTCCATTGCCTACCTTTAGGTCGTTAACTATTGGATGTTGGAGAAGGCTGGAAAAAAAGGTATACCCCGTGATCTGGCATAACCACAGCTCGATCACGATGCCAAGCCACGAGTGGCCGATAATCGGCCGCACACCCGAGCCTAACGCACGTCACCTCTTCTAGTCGCCATGGGATCCTCGTACTCTACAATATCGGAGGATGTCAAATCTATCCGAAATGGACCTTCAGCCTCCCATGAAGAAAACCAAATCTATTACCCAAGACACTCAGCTGATGCGGTCGAGAGCTTCAACATTCTCCGACAAAAGTTGCCGTCTGAACTCGTCCTGGAGATTCTAGAATTGGCAGAGTATTGGGTGTTATCTGCCACCTTCAGAGCAGACACAGTGGGTTACGATGAAGGCGACTGCCGTGATCGAACCCCATATTTGACATCGGAGCCCATCCAAGGCGAGCGATTTCCCGTTCGAGAGATCAGAATCAACATCTGGAGCCATGATCAGGGATGGAGCAGCTATGGTGAAGATCATGGCACATACAGAAACTCTTGGACCTGGTTCGATCTTGGTATTGAACGACCGCCGGGACGAGATGATATCTCCAAAGATGAAGACCTACGCCTGGCGACGAATGTTCACGCTAGACGCGAAACTATGCACCACCAGATTACGTACCGGAGGGACCAGAAATTACGCTGGATGCAAAATCTTCAAGCAGGTGATCGGATTTCGATTATACCACGGGCGCGTTTTCATGGCTGGCGCAATACCGTGGAAAAGGCTTCTATTGAGGTTTACACCAGCCCTGTTCTGTGACTATGTCCCTGCATTATTTCATATTCGTCTTGATTTCAAAGCCATTTTGTATGGTCTACTTTATACATAACTGAATGTGCTCAACTTTCTTCGATCTTTCTGACATCTATCGATGCGTTCCCGAAGACAGAATAGCGGCCACTTCCTCATAAACAGAAAATACGATGCCACCACTCAGAAGTAGCCGGCCCAATCGCATGGAACTACCCTTCCAAAATCCCCGAAGCCCATAGTCCCGAATCACGCTCCGGGAGGCTTCAACAATGCCAGCTCCTTCGACACCCTGTGCACGTGTCTTGATGGTATCAAATGGTTGTGTAGCGTACACAGTAACTATTCCTGCCAAGGCACCGATGCCGAACGTTGTGAACACATTTGGCTTGATGCCCTTAGCCTTCGTGGCTTCTTTGAGCACGTTATACGTTCCCATACGAACTGCAGAAGTGGCCGATTGCTTCATCATCGTCGACACGAGACCGCGATAAAGCTCGGTGATACCATGCCTTTTTACCAGCACTTGTATTGCCTGTATGCTCGACTTGAATTGCCGAGCGCCTTTTGCATCGTCGATTCTGGGGCGGGATCGGTCAGCTGAAGCTCTTTTAACATACAAGTGGATACCAACAATGCCGTCTTGATCCTCTCCGTCGGTGTTACTGCTAGTACACTCTCTACAGCGCCAGCGGTCATTCCAGCGAGCATCCCCCGGCCAGCCGAGAGAACGCCACGATCATCTGCAAGAGAGTTGCGGATTGTATCGTAGGATACGAACCGGACCGCGGCCTTTGCTGTTGTTCCCTACAAAATGTCATTAATGTGACGTAAAATGCCATTGGAGACGAATAAACCGACGATGACAAGAGTTGAGCATCCTGTGTACAGAGCACCGACACCTTCCTGTCTCGCAACTTGTACGATGAGACGGAGTGGATTTGATGTCCGAATAGGACCGTCATTCGACAGTTGAACACGTGTTTTTGAATACTCAAATGGATACTGCGGCCGTCAGTTATTGAACTCTTGTGTAAATCAAGAAACCGACCGTTATGGCCGCTTCCACTCCACCGGCAATTCCTCCGGCCACGAGGGACACCCACTGGGGCGTGTAAAGCTAGACTAGGTCAGTTAAAGTACTCAATTGACGCTCAATTGAATGAATTACCCTCGTCTGTTGTGGGCCAGGTTCTGATTTATCGGGCGCAGACATGGTATGACAGTGACAGCTTGCAGCTTACACCGGTTGAATAATAAGGGGTTTGGCCCAATGGGTTGGAGATATTCTGTGGGGGAAAACGGGATGATCCCCCGGTATGCGGGGACGAACGGAAGAAGAGTTGCCGACATATTGCTTGCTGTCAACTGTCCAGAATATTTCTTCATGGTATTGGCAAATTCTATCTACACATAAGTTCTGCAGGGACAAATAGAACCCCGGGCTTGCTGTATACCACTTCAGACGCCTCGCTCTCGGATGCAGCTCTCGAGATAGCCGGCACATAAGTGTCTTCTTCCTGTGCCTTGAAGCTTCCTTGTCAGGGCAACGCCGGGATGAACTCGAGCTCGAATCCCTGTATGCTAGGAATTGTGAGCGGTCGCGGCGGACGTGATGACCCTTATGTTACCGGCATCGCATGATGACGGCGATTGATGTGGCAGGCCTGGCACTAGAGGAAGGAGGGAGGAGGAAGGAGTAAAAGTTCGGCAATATGTCGCAAAAACGCAACAATAATGCATTACCATCCACTCTCACCGATCATACGACCAAGCCGCAGGGACCGATGGAAAAAATGCATGCTTCATGTCCTGAAACGCAGCTACATCCTCGTTCATTATCACGGAAAAATTAATCGCAGAGCCAGCGTCAGGGTCGACGGGGAGCCAATTTGATGTCATGCGGGTACTCCCATCTGGCATCTCGAGTGGTGTGAGACACTCTTCTTCTATTCTTGAGTGTTGATGGCGCGGGGAGCTGAGACTGTGCGTTTGTCCATGAGCCTGGTATGGAGATTCTAATGCCGAGGTCGCGAAACCCGGCCCGAAATCGAATTGCATGTATTGGAAATCTTCGTAGTCGACTTCACCTTCCCACCCGCTTGATGAAGCATGGCTTGGTTCTGGGGACGCGTGAGGATCTGAGTTTGGAGATCCAGGGAAGAAGGCGAGGGTCTTTGGGGAGGGAGTCATGAAGAGCGCTCTTTGTGTTGCGAGCTGTAAATCTGGACGGGGATGGATACGGGGGTTTGGGGTGGTTTGGGATGATTGGCGTGAGAAACTAGTATGATTGTTAGCTAGCTAGTTCAAGATACGCGTCTTTTCTTCTTCTTTTGTCTCGCCAGCAAGGCACTGGTAGTAATTTACCTTTTGACATTGTTTTTCGTTCCTCCACAATCCTCTCTCACTAGACCGGCGTCATACCATGTTTGCGGATATGGTTGGAATGCGGTCGATTTGACCGGGTATTCATCCACCCAGCTTAACTGCTCAATAGCCCGGGAGGGATCTAGTCCCTCCTGCATCGTCAGAGGAAAGTCGCTGGCGATAAAGGGATGCAGACCGAGCTCATCGTGCTGTCCCACATGCAAATCAATGAGACTCTCCATAGGCCAGGAGGTAGTCTCGTATGGAAACTGAGCTTCGGTCATGGTGAACGTGCTTTATTTACCACAGGTTCAAATGACGATGGGGGCAAATATAGTAGGCAAGACACAGATCAAAGAGAAAAGACCTGGTTGGAGTTGGAGTTGGAGTTAAAGTTGAAGCTTGAAATAGTTTCTATCTCTGTATGACCTTGCTACCAGCGCAAAGAGAAAAGCAAAGAATGATTACTCGCAAAACCGGGGGCATCCTGGACCTATTTAAACCAAAAGAAAATCGAATTCAACATCAAATCACGGAGCTGGGGAGCTGTGGAAATGCGGAGTTGCGGAGAATCTGGGGCAGCTCCAGCGGCAAATATATTCCTAGAGACCGCATGATCCCATGAGATCCTTCAATTAACCGATTTCCCCGGATTTTACGGTCAAGGCCGTGCATTCGTGGGAGGTTGTTGTCCAATCGGTCAATTCTGGTACCTCGGCATCGAGAATTTAATCGAAACCCCGCCGTTGAGCGGATAAATTGAAGAGGCTCGAGGCTTCAGGAACCCAAATAAGAACGGGGAATGACATCGCCTTGTTTCGTACTTACTATGTAGGTATAACCGGTTTGATATAGGGTTCGGAGGAAGATATTGTCCACACCACATTGGAAGAATGGACCGAGATACCCTCAAGGGTAATAAATTATATACCTCCAGATTTATCCGCCCTTAATTGTTACATAGAAAGAAGCTTCCACCGAGGAAACGCCAGATATCCAAAAACGCCACTCCAGAACTATACAATAGAAAAGTAGTATCCAGTCAACACCAAGATTGCGTACAACATAGATCGACCGTGGGGAAAGGGGTTCCCACTCCTCCGCTCAGGTACGCAAACCTACATCGGGACGCGTGCTTTATCCTGCAGGGCGCAGGGATCGACAGGAACAGAGAAATCCTAGCCGGGCGGCTTGTGGGGTATTTACAGGGCCAGGCCAGTCCCTTTTCGCGTCCAGCGATAAAGCGCGAGAACTGCTTTTCGGCGATGTCGAATTTCACTCGGGTTAACAGGTCGACCTCGAGCCTGGGCAACCGCAGAGCGCATCACTTGCCGGAAGCTGCGTTGGTACTCCGTGTTGAGGGTCACCACACAAGATTCTGTCGCTCGGATCATGGTCTCGCACGCGTTGAGTATGCCCTCGCCTGCTTCCTTTTGGAGGCGCTCTACGATAAGTAGCAGGAGGAAACTACCCTGCAGCAGCTGGATGCCGAAGAAGTAAGGCATGAAACTAACGTCGGGGTCGAAGCGGAGGATTTGTTGCACGGAATCGGCCGCTTCCAGTGCGTGTGAGATGGTCGACGCAAAAGCCGGGGAGGATGTCCAGAAATCTTTATCTTCTATCAATGAGACAGGATCCCACTTTCCGACGAGCAGGATGTGGAGGACGTGTGTAAGGTAGGAGGAATAGGCAATCACGGTCTGGGTATGCCAAGAATAGGCCTCGGACAATTGCGGATCGACAGGTTCTGGTTTGTTGGTGTAAGCAGTCGTTGACGAGGCCGCTGGGTCTGCCGCCGCCGCCGCGAAGGTTGTGAGACTAGCTTTGTATATCTCAAGCTGGCGCAGCACTTCCGATACGTGAACCTCCCACGCTTCCTTTCCTTGAAGCCTGACACCGAGAGTAGGGTGGTTTCGTGCCTGGTTTAGATCGATCAGTTCGCCAGTGATCGTCATGAGTGGGAGGAAAAAGCCAAGAATGGAGTGGTCGTGGCAAATAAAGTTGGGGAAAATGCGACGTTTATTTTGGTCGCCCGACCGGAGGCATTGGGGCCCATCGGGACGAGGACTATTGCTGTGAATGATTCCTGCTTGCCAGGAGCTTTCATCCAGTGGAAGCAACAGGTCCTCGCTCTCGGCATCCAGTAGGGCTAGCGGACGATTATAGCATAATGCAAGATGGCGGTCCATGATATATAGCAACCACCAGGTTCTGCGCCGCTCCTCACGATGCTCTTCTGTAATAGGAACATTATGTAAATCATGTTTTCTGTCACATACACAATTCAGATTTGGGCGTGAAGGATTAGAGTAGTCCAAGCCCAGCCCACCTGGAGAACCAGGCCATCCACCTAGACCGTAGCCGAAGGACGGACTTGAACCATCGCTCATGCTGTCGATATTGGGTGTTATTTCCATCTCTTGATTCAATTTAAGTTCTCGAGCTAGTGTAAAGGCCGCATGCCACCTAGTTTGGAATTAGTGGAGTGGACAAAAGATAAGAGCAGGTGTACAACGAACCATCTCATACTTGCTGCCTTCTGTTCACTAGATGAGATAATCGAGGCCACATGAATATAGGTAATGACATCGTCTAAAGATCCAGCGGGGCCTACCAGCCCTTTATCATCACCGACTCCTTCGAATGGGTGGTGAGTCCCTGCAGAGAAGTCGTGGGTGGTTGTGTTTTCGGCGGGTGATGAATCTTGGTCTTTGAATGAGACATGTATCAAAGGCCGCAGTAAGCGAATAATCAACGCACAGAGAAATTGGCATATCTTTCTCCGTTGTAATGGTGAGATGGATAAAGAGAAAGCTCGATCATCCACAGCAGCTACCCAGAGCATACTTGCCAGCAAGGCAGGACTAGTGGGCCTGGGGCGGTCGACACTTAGAAAAGACGTCTTTCGCAGGACATAGCAATGAATATGATGACACACAGGATGCATATGGGTTGAGAAAGCACTAGTAAAGTAGAGTTCAAGCAGATCGCACACCAGTCGACGCGGGAGGTGCGATTCGAGAAAAGGCATGAGAGGTTCCAAAACAGGGTACTTCAATGGCGACCGGGAGATTGATGACCGTCTTCGTCTTGAAGGGTTCGTCCCCGACACAGACGGTAGGGGAGGGGCGTGCTGGGCCGCCTGGTGGCCAGCGAAATCAACCGGATTCCAAATATCCATCAACCGGGGCAAAGGCGCGTCGCTGCCACCCGTTCCTGCAAGCATATCGTACGAGTCTGGCGACAGATGTGCCGCTGAAAGCCATTCCTCTGTGACATTCGCGGCAGGCCCTGTCCGCTGCGGCTGTGGACAATCTGGCATAGACCGAGGGTCGTCGACACCGGCGCTGATCTCATTTGTTGCAGGCGATGGCTGATGAAAGGTCGATGTGGGAGAATTGTTTTCAATTGGCGACAGCCTCTGCTGCGACTGCGACTGCGACTTCGACTCCCGCTTGTGTTCCCCGTCGGCCTGCTTCCCCTCGGCGCGGTCCTGGGTTACCTCGTCCTCGGCATTCGTATTTCCATTTGTCGGCTTCGATCTCGCAATACGTCCTCGTTTCCGGCGCTCGCGGGTAAATTGACAGTGTATATCACCGCGAAGACACCTCGAGCAGGGGAAAGCACGATCGCATCGTACGCGGCGAGTATGGCATGAGTCGCAGGCGACTCTGTTTCGGCGCCATCGTCGCTTGCCATTCGGTAGCTCAACCTCGACCGAGTCAGGGGCCGGAGACGGCTGATCACCCTGGGACTCCATTTCGGGACGTCATTGGCGAGGTTGAGTGTTGAAAAAAAAAGGAAGCCGAAGAGAAAAGAAGAATGTTGCGGGGAAAAGGCATCGGGCAATTGGACTTGGCAATTTCTCCAACTCATTTAGTTCTACGGAGTACTCCATCGGAGGAACGTTGATCATAATACGCTTCATTCTTATTTACATATTCATCACTTCACCCTTTCTGGAGTACACTCTTGAATCGCTTCAACGCTCGATCTCGACTCTCTGCATGGTCCACAATGGGCTTGGGGTAGCCGTTCTTCTGCGCAATAGCCGCGGCTCCCCTCGCATATGGTTCATGGATGGCTTTACCAGACACATCGCGCAGCTCTGGCACCCAGTGGCGGATATACTCTCCCTCCGGGTCGAAGCGCTCACTCTGCCGAAGAGGATTGAAGATTCGGAAATATGGTTGCGGATCCACGCCAGTACTGGACCCGAACCCCCACCCGCCGTGATTGGACGCGAAGTCGCCGTCGATTAGATTCTCCATAAAGTAGCGCTCGCCACGGCGCCAATCGAGCATTAAGTCCTTGGTAAGGAACGATGAGACAACCATGCGCGTGCGGTTGTGCATCCAGGCGCAGTGGCGGAGCTGGCGCATTGCTGCGTCGACGATCGGAAAACCTGTCTTGCCATCGCACCACGCTTGGAACTGATCCTTATCGTACTCCCATTCAATATCGGTATGTTCGGGCTTGAAGCATTTGTTCATACTACAGGAAGTCTTTGCATTAGAATGGGAAACCCGTTGGCCTAGGAGATAACTTACCAGATGAAGGGCCAGTTCACCAGGACATGTTTGTAGAAGTCCCGCCAGGCCAACTCGCTGATCCACGTCATGTAACCGGGATCGTATCGATCGAGATGGCCTTTGTTGACCCTCTTCGCTGTCGCGACAGCAGTCCTTACGCTCAGCGCTCCGCATGCAATGTAAGGACTCAACACCGAAGTGTGCTCACCGGGCAACATGCTCCGCAACTCCTCGTACTTTCTACCTTTCTCCTCGAGAAATTTGTCCAGCCGCCGGAGGGCTTCATGCTCTCCGGCTGGGTAAAGTCCCTCAAAGCGTTTCTGGTCTTCGCCCGACAAGGTATGGGTTTTAGGTGCGGCTGGCACCTTGCAATTGAATAAATCCTTCAATTGATGGCGCGCGTTGCCTGGATTTGACCCGGGCTCCTCAGAGACCTCGAGGTAATCCGGGTTCTCTTTCAAGAAGGCCAACCAGGAGCGATACCATGGAGTGTAAACGGAATATTGTTTCCCTTGCTGGCTAGCCAGCGCGCCCGGAGTGACCACACATGTGTCATGAGTGGGAGCGAAATTAATATCATTATCCGCGCAAAGTCTAACAAGCTTAGCTTCGCGTCGCAGTTCATCTACCTCATACTCGATATTCGCATATAGGTTCTTCGCACCCCACTGTTGACACAATTCCACAATCCGTTTCGGGATTGCCTTCCGTTTCTCTTGTGTTTCCATGTGCAGAGGGATATCCAACTCCCCCAGGTCCTGTTGCAATCGCTCGAGGGTGCGCAGCGTGAAATCCACCCGAGCAGGGCTAGTCAAATGGGCAGTCCAATCTTCGGGGGAGACGATGTAAAGGCCGATCAACGGGATCTGGTTTTCTTTCGCAGTTTGGTAGGCAGTGTACAGTGACCTATTATCATGCAGTCGGAGATCGCTCTTGAACCAATGTACCACGGCATTACCCACGTTGATCGACTGGCGCTTGGTGGCGGTTTCTCGGCAAGCCCTCTGTAGCGTTTCAATAGGGCGTTCCAGCTCGCCATCGGTGTATGCTCGGCAGCGCTCATTGCTCATCTCGGCCGGATAGAACTGGCGTAGGACTATGCCGAAATCCTCGGTTTGGTTCGCGTTCGGGTGCGGTTGGTGCAAGTCTGGTCGGCCTTTTTTGCTAGCACTCAAGCCATCATGCTTTTCAGCTGCCGGTTCGGTAGCTTTCCTCTTCGGTGGCATGGCTGAAAGGTTGCGAACAAGCTCGGCTCGCAATTGACTGAACAGAAACAGGCGCGGGATTGATCTAGAACAGCAGAGAGGCAGTTTCTGCATTACTGAGAATAACAAGGACAAGGGGTGCTAAAAGGAATCCCAAGTCCTTCGATCCAGATCGGGATCGGCTTCAGATCTGGGTGACGTCAGTATCCGATCTGATCGCGATCGCGTCCCTGTCTACGGTCTGGACCTGTTGGATGCATTCCTTGGTCGGACCATGCTAGTTCTGGGATTCCGATTCATTTCAGTTATGCCACGGAGTAGTGACCTCAGTCCCCGTTTCTTGCCAATGGCCAATTTGGGTATACGGCAGATCTGGCGTTGACCAATCCCGCGAATGTGAACAGGCTCTTGTTCTGGTACCAATTCCCCACAACGACTGCAATTAACCAGGAAGTACTTATATTTCATACTTGTCATCTCCGAGGGCTCATATTCCATGTCTTCCTTCGTTGACAACCTTGTCAACTACCTGGCCAGTAAGTACACCAAACCTCAAAACAAGGGGGATCGACAGTCGAGAACAAAAATCCAGCCACCGTTCAATAATGCGATGATGGAGGCGTAACAAAGGGAGTCCATCCCTGTTGATATGTACTTCTGGAGTCAGCTCTAAGTATACCCCAAACTTCCGGTCCATGGCCTCGGAACTTCTCGACCAGTCTGCTTTCGTCAATTTCCCCACAACCCCGGCTGTCAGGTGCTCTTGTATGATCCGATTGCCTCCATTCGCCGCCGATACCGTCAAAGTTCTCCCCGCCACTGTTCAGACCCTGAACTTTAAGGTCGCTGGGAACAAATTTAATAGTTTATTCCTATCCCCTAACTCTTCCCATCTTCAATTCCCCCCTATATCTATACCTATACCTATATCTCATCCCTCCTTCCCTAATCCATCTACCCCAGTGCACAACCAGCAATGTCCCTCAACCGCCAATGGCCACAAACGACGCCCGCAGCGTTGAAGACTACCTTATTCCCGGCAACGGCCCATCCGACCTAGCTCGCACAGGCGTCTTCGCCGCCTTCGCCGCACTAGCCTGGTACAACTCCATCGAGCTCGTCATCCTCTGCTTTTTCTCCTTCAGACGCTGGAAGGGCATCTACTTCTGGAGTCTTCTAATCTCCTCCGGCTGCATTATCCCGTACACCCTGGGGTACGTCCTTCTCTTCTTCCGGACCGGCGTTACCCCCTGGCTATGCGTGACCCTCGTCCAGCTGGGCTGGTACGGCATGATCACCGGCCAGTCGGTCGTGTTATGGTCCCGCCTGCATCTCGTGCTGCAGAATAGGAGACTGCTCCGCGGTGTGCTATGGATGATCTGCATTGACGCTGTCATTTTTCACATCCCGACTACGGTTCTCTTGTACGGGACTGTTGCTCAGCCGGCGAGTCACTGGGCCCGCGCGTATAATATCATGGAGCGAGTGCAGCTGGTCGGTTTCTGTGTGCAGGAATTGATTATCTCTAGCATCTACGTCTGGGAAACGATTAAGCTGCTTCATCTCAGGCCTGAAGGTCGCCCTCATGGCATTCTGAACCAGTTGCTGGTTATCAATATCCTCATTCTTCTCTTGGATATCTCGGTCGTCGTCATTGAATATGTCGGCTACTATGCTATACAGGTCATGTTCAAACCTGTCGCTTACAGTATCAAGTTGAAACTTGAATATGCTATTCTTGGTAAATTGATCGCGGTTGCTCGTGGTGGCGGCTCCGATAGTCAGGAGATGCACTCCAGTACGCGGGAGATCACCGAGTCTAGCTCGTTTCCGTCGAATGGGGATCGGCCTGCGAACCGGGAGACGCCGATGCGTGTTCGTCGCGAGTACAGTCCATCGTGGTTTGGGGGAGGAAGCTCTGGTCATTCTACATCTAGTTTATCTGGTGTCCTGCAGAATCCATGACAGCAGGTTTTAGCTCTTGGCTTGCTTGTACCTAATCACATAGATGTTGAGAAGCTCTATCTCTTTACAGGTGATATAGCATGTCTCAAATGTTCATACGAGAAATTAATTGTCGAAAATATGCGAAAATATTCACAATGGCTCCAAGCGATATCTCAAATATATTCAACGATAGTAATCAGCCAATCCAGCGGTACCCGCCTGCAGCACCAATACGCTGCCATAAATCTTATTCTCGGGCTGTACCATCGCCGTACCGACAGGTCCCAGAACCCGGCGGGTATCATGTCCAATACTATCCTCCGAAAGACCCAGCTCAATATTAGAAGAGACACTACGACGACCAACGATAATAATGTTGTTCGCCTTGTTCGAAGTGTGGTTAAGTTCTTCACGCACAGAAACGACAGCCATTTGAGCTGCGTCGGTAATGGTATCATTGACAGCTGGTTGGTGGAAGACGACACGCTCTTGAAGTTCTTCTGGAACAGAATCACGCATTGTTTCAAAAAAGACCATATCGGACTGAGAGCTGGACGCAGGGATCGCACTCGAGCTCGAAGCAGATACTGTAGTCACCACGGCTGTTTTAGTGACATCGCCTCCCAATCCTCCAATCTGAATAACAGTCGCAGTGACCTGATCATTCTGAGCGAGCTGCATGACCATCCGAAGAGCGAAGCGGTCATCATCACCGCCAAAGAATGGAAGGACAATGTGGTGGGAGCGGCTGCCGGTTGGCTGGCGGGCGAAAATTGAGCCCTGGAGACTCATAGCGCTGGCGGTACGTGAGATCACGGGGCGCTTTGATGAGGCAGAGGATGGACTGTATTCAATTAGGATGCCCACATGGCCGGGGACCCGCTCTAATATATCAGAAACGAAGCTTGTGTAGGTGCCGTTGGAGAAACGATTTGCGTCGTCGATGTCTAGCCCATTATGGCGGTCGGCCAGTGTTCCGGTCTCGCTCCAGGGGAGAAGGAGCAGATCTGCGGTGTCCTGCTGCGCCATGCCGATGACGGTGTCTGCGTAAGAGTGCTCGGGGACGACAGATACACCAGCCATGAGCGAGAGATCGTGCCAGTCTCCGAAGGCGCGGAAAGTGTTGACTACCGGATCCCACAGTGCATGCTCGCCCGCAGCAGCAACCTTCATGACACTGGAATCACGGTCGGTCAATTCCATCAGCCTAACACCGTGCACCTTAAGTGTGGTGTTTTCGTCCTCTTCTTGGGTAATAGGATCTTCGACGGTTTCCTCGGTCTGTTTTGGCATCTTTGAGGGGTGAATGCGTGATGACACGGATGCACGTCGCTTTGAACTGAGGAGGGCTGCTATAGTACAGACACCCGAAAGACCATCGAGACGAAGGTAGACGAGGAGCTTACGTACTGGGACGGTCTTCAACTGATCCTTGGCAAGGGCGACGCTGTCGTTGCGGCCATCATGCTGGATAGGGTTGCCTTCCCAGTCGATCTCCCCGCGTCTCCACCGGTCGACCTTGACCTGGTACCATCTTGGATACAGCAAGGTGGTTAATGGAGTGGTAAGGAATGTGGTGACCAAGGCCATCACGACGAAAATTGTAAACGTGCGAGTGCTCAAAATCTTAGCTTGGAGACCAATGTTCTGGGGTTACTGAATTAGCATCCATTCTCAATCGGAAAACTCCCTGCAGGTTGTACTCACTAGCACGATTAATTCCACCAAACCCTTGCAACTCATTAACACACCGATCGAAAAGCTTTCGCGCCATAAAAGGCCACAGAGCCGCGATGCAATGGCACCTCCAGTGACTTTCGCAATGAACGCGATGGCGATTACGCCAACCACATAACCCCAGACGATTCCAGAGTCAAGAAGGCCCAGATTGGTGCTCAGACCGGACAAGGTGAAATAAAGTGGCAGGAAAATGACAGCGACCAAATCCTCGACTTTCTCAGTGAGCTTGATGGCAAAGCCGCCTTCGTGTGGGCAGATCAGACCGATGACGAAGCCTCCAAAAATGGCGTGAACACCAATAATCTGTGTGAAGAAGGCTGAAGCCAGAGCAATAAGCAGAGTGAGGGCCACCACTGACTGGCTGGGTCCCTTTTGGAGACTGCCCGTTTTCTCGAGGAAGCGGAGGAACAGTGGGCGGAAAGCGAAAGTCAAAAACAACATGTAGGCAACGCAGACTAGTAACACGTACAGAGCCGTGATTCCACTGCCCGCGTTGACAAGAGCAACACATAGTGCAAGCAGGATCCAGCCCACCACATCATTACCAACGCCAGCGGACAGCACGATCACACCGACCCGGGTTGAGAGCAGCTTCAGCTCGGTGAGGATACGACACAGCACGGGGAAGGCCGTGATGGCCATGGCGATACCGATGAACAGCAGATAGGTACCGAAGGCAATGGGCTTGGTACCAGGATCATCGTGGAACTCATGGTAGAGGCCATATGAAATGGCACAACCCAAGCCGAATGGCAAGATCATGCCCGCAGCGGACACGCTCAAAGCGACCCGCCAATTACTGACCAGGAAGCGAAGATCGGTCTCGACACCGACCAAGAAGAGGAAGAGTATAAGCCCCAGATTGGCGACTACATTGAGGCTGGGAATGCTGGCGGTCGGGAAAATCGCGTCGGTGAATCCGGGGATGCGACCCATCACCGATGGGCCCAGAACAATTCCCCCGATCACCTCTGCGATCACTCGAGGCTGGCGAATCTTTGAGAGGGGCCAGTGTATAAGGCGACATAGCACGATGATTATGACGGCCTGCTTGTCAGTTATATTTCTGTTTCCCCGGATGGCGACATAGTTACCTGGATAATAAATAACACCAGTGGATTCTTGGAGTCATAATGGGTTGGGTTGCCGCCTTCGAGGATGCCACCCTGCGGACTGACTGCGTTAGTGCTATTGGCCGTAGCTGTCGTGGTCACGTTCGCGGTCGCCATACTGGATGATATCCAGCTTCGGCAGAGAGAACAGGCAGAGGAGATCTTTTAAGTCACGACGTCTCCCCAGCCCAAGACAAATGAAAGAGTCAGCCTACGCTAAGACCGGGGCCAATAAGATTTAAAGTGCCATGGATCCTTAACGGCTTGGCCTCGCTAGTCCCAACGTGGATTGGTCGAAAGTTCGAATTATTCATTCAATGCGGGAATCACGTTTCTCTTCTTGAGGGGAACAAAGCAAATATCACTGCATGCGGCCGAGGAATGGGCAGTCTCGACGGAGTACATTCTTTTTTTGCTGTGCACGAACACGACCAGCCCTGAAATAAGAAAGAGTTTTCATAATCTGCGCTTTTGTTTAAAGTTTTCACGTGGTGATGGTGACATGACAGCTCGGGCCTTTGGCGAGGCAGGTGATCTACCCCGGATTCTTTCCCCAGACACAACATCCACAGCATCTTACGGTCTATGCATCTTGGTAATGTGACATCTGATTCTACAAGGTTTTTCTGATAAAACTCGTAGCTTGTTGGCATGTCCTCTTGAATCATATGTCTTTGTCCATGTGATGGAGCACGATATACATGTACTATATATAGTGGGTTTGAGGTCGGAGGTCATTAACCCCTTGAGTTCAATCTCGTGTATATTGTAATTAATACATTTTTGGCCTGTAAGATTAAGTACTCTCATTACAGCGCTTCCAATATATATTCCAATGATCTATCAACATGAAGCTATTCAGAGATTACCTGGTCACCATGAGTTAATTTAAATCGATTCAACCAACAATAATAAAGATAAATTAAGTCTAAGAACGACTTTTAAATGCCAGCTAGTAGAGAGTGTCTAATTAATCAAATGCGCCGGTATTTAATGCTAGTTGTGGCTCAATTGTACAAAGGCTTCAGATTAAAGGTCTCATAGAGACCAAACCCAATGAAACACCAAGCAAAATGCAAAACCTCCTGATACCATCTAGGAACTGAACCAATCAAGCCTTCTTCGTCTTGGCCTTGGAGGTCCGCACTCTGAAGAGGTAATAGAGCGTAATAGCAGCAAAAATATTGAAAAAGAAATAACACCAGAAGATCCCGTAGTTTCGCCAGCGATGAACCCACTCAATCTTCCTCGCAGCAAGGTACTGATCCGCCGAACTGAGAGAACAGTACTCACAGCCAGACGTAGCATTGTAATTGGCAAGTGTCCCGGCTGCAGTTTCGAGGTACTTCTCCATATACTGGAAGCAGGTCTGACCAGAAGGCGGATCAAAGACACTCATCTCCGCAGCATTGCACTCCACCGGGCGGCCATGGAGCGCTGTAGCGCTGATACCGCCGATGTAGTAGGTAAATGGTGAGACGCGATACATGAAGATCCAGAAGCGGGGCAGATCATCGGGCGGCTGCATCACGCCGTTGAAGATGAAGGAAAGACCGAACATCAGCGTGGCGACCATAGCTGCGAGTGCAGGCTCGGGGATTGCGCAGACGACCAGCTGTGCCATGCTTGCGGCGTAGATGTAGAATTGGACGATAAATAGCATGATCAGTGCGCGGCGCTCGGAGTCCTGGTCGGCGCCGAAGACGCACCAGTAGAAGCAGGCCCAGGAGCAGACGCCGAGGCAAACTTGGAAGGGGATTTCGACGAACATCTGGGAGAGGATGAAGACTTTCCAGGAGTAGATGCGGGATGGGCGTTCGCGAACTTCGTAGAGGGAACGTTGGACGACGAACTTGGGCATGATCTGGTTGACAAGTGTGTTGAAAATTGTGCACAGAAGGAAAATACTGAAGAGCACGTTTTGGAAGCCTTGTTGGGTGTTGTCTGATTTCCAGAACGAGAAGCCGATGAATAATCCAGACACAATACCCAAGATAAATTTGGAGTAGACGTATTCTGGCTGACGGTAGTACTGCTGGAAGACTCGTTCAAGAACATAATACAGCTGGCTTCTGAGTGGCATGGCGAACTCGGAGTTGTCGTCGTCAAATTCGTCAGGCCCGTCCAATGAAGGTCGATAAGAAGACTGTTTGGGATCATTATGAAGTCGTTCGACCTCAGCCTGTACCTCTTCATACTCCGGGCTCTTGTTCCAGGCCGCAACCCAGTCGATTGGGCAAGAATCTCCAGCAACCATTTCCAAGATGTATTCCGCGGGATTTTCGAGTTCCTCGCACGGTCGGGCGCCGTTGTTCTCGAAGTAATTCAAAAGGGTGGAAGACTGATTTCCGATGTCGCCAAAGTAGACGGTCTTTCCCCCCTTCGCAAGGAAGAGCAAACGATCGAAGGTTTGGAACAACTGCGCGCTAGGCTGGTGGATCGTCGCGAGGACAGCCTGGCCGTGATCTGCAAGTCTTCGGAGAAATTGACAAATAGTCCAAGAGCTTTGAGAGTCCAGACCGCTGGTAGGTTCGTCGAGGAAGATAAGCAGGGTAGGTTTCGCAGCAAGTTCAACACCAATGCTAAGCAGCTTCCTTTGCTCGACGTTGAGGCCCTCTCCCAGGCTTCCCACCACCGCTTCGGCGAAATCTTCCATGCCAAGGACTTTGATGACTTGTTCGACGTACTCATACTTCTCATGCTTGGTAACCTTCTGGGGCTGACGAAGCATAGCACTGAAACGCAAAGCTTCCCTCACAGTGGTGGTATCAAGATGAAGATCTTGTTGTTGCACATATCCAGTCCGACGGGGGAAGTTTGCCGCAAGGGTCTTGCCGTTCACGAATATATCACCAGAGACAACACCGATAGAGACTCTCTGCGCAAGGACATCAAGAAGCGTTGTCTTTCCAGCTCCAGAAACACCCATCAAGGCAGTCAGGCTACCAGGCTTGACCCAGCCATTGACGTTGTCCAAGAGTCGTCGGGTGCCCTCCTTCACGGGGATATCGTAGTTGAGGGAGTTCCATGACAGAATGTCCTTTTGCTCGGGTAAACGGATGGTATCATTGGTCATCTGGAGCTCGAGCTTATTGACCTCCTGGATTCCAAGCTCGATGCTGTGACCTTCCTGCAGATACTTGGGCGCATGTCCAGGGCGGAAAACCAGCGCCTCAGCCTTTGACTTGTCATCAGTAAGGTACTCTGTCGCAACCAAGTAAAGTGTATTGAGGGCGATAAAAAAGCCGATGAGAATTCCGTAGTTCCGCCACAAATGAGAGTGCTTGTACTCGTAGTTTGCTTCAATGAAAGCATCCCCAGATACAGTTCGTTGACCGGCGACTGCACCGACAGTGGAGCAGATAAAGGACGTCCCAGTTCCATAACTCGGGATGAATGCGGAACAGTCAAATGTTCGACCATGGAATTCATTGGCCACGAGCGCTTCGAATGTATAGTAGATCGGGCTGATCCACCGGATCCACGAAAGCCAAGGATGCATATATGGCTGTGGGAGAGTAAATCCGGTATAGACGACAATGCAGAGCACAAGCACACCGGCAATCGCCATGGCCTGCCCAACAGATTTGGTCAAGGCACCGACACTGCGGAACAAGCCAGACATGGCCAGAACTGCAGTGAGCAAGAATAGGTAGTGGATGAAGAAAGCTCCCGCTTCACGGCGCAGGTTTGCCATAAAGTAGAGGACCACTGTGAAGATTGAGATTCGTATGATCTTGATCGGTAAATCGATGATGAGACTGGCTAGTGCTTCAGTGAACGGGTGGACAAATGCATACCCAGCTTGCTTTTCGACAACGGGGCGCTGGGCATAGAGTTGGAGGATTTCGTTGATCGTAAGAATGGCATTCATGAGCACAGCAAAGTACATCACTGCACCCTTTTGAAAGAAGAAATTGGGGGTATCAGGAGTATTGTAGAAGATGGATCCAATGATCAGAGATAGAATGATCTGAACAATAACCGGTGCCATGGCTGTTGGAAGATCTTGAAGCATTCGCTGGTAGGCTCTGTGTATGCACAGCCGTACCTGCATAGGGATGGAGAGAAGAAAAGGGCTACGAGCTCGAGTGTGGCGAGCTTGCTGCTCTTTGTGGCTTTCCATGAGTCTTTTCTTTTCGTCGACATTTGGGTGATGTTCACGTTCGAATTCGGAAATTTCCTTGTGTAAGAGCTGGTACTCCGGGCTATTTTTCCAATACTCGGAAAACTCCTTCGCTGTGCGGGGGACCTTGCCTTCCATGCCAGGCCGTGCCGTGCGTTCTGCTGGGTTGGTGATTGCAGTCAAAAAGTCACCACTGACTTGGCGCTCAAGTCTCTGCCATCCCATGTCTTGGAAATAGGAAACTGCACGCTCTCTGGGTCCATAATAGATCTGGTACCCTTCGTATAGAAGAACCACCTTGTCGAAAAGATCATACATCGACTGTGATGCTTGGTAGGCGGCAATGGCATGGCAGGATTGCCCCATATCAGCCGAAAGGCGCAATGATCTCACGAATTTCAGGGCAGATGCGGCATCTAGACCACGGGTGCTGTTGTCCCATGCTCCGATGCGACAGCGAGACAAGAACATCTCGGCAATACTGACTCGCTTTCTCTCGCCTCCGCTGACACCTCGTACAAAATTGTTGCCCACCTTGGTGTTGTAGACGTGGGACAATCCAAAGACGGACAGGACAACCTGAGTGATTGTCTCAACGTATTCATTGCGGGTCACACCCTTCAGGCGTTGTTGGGGTGCACGAGCATGGGCGGCGAATGTGAGGGTCTGACCTACGGTCAAGTGGGGAAAATGTAGGTCGACCTCCTTGTTGTATGCGACATCTCCTCGGTGATGTTTGATCATATCTTCAAATGCGATTCCTTTGTAATGGATTGAACTTTCAGGCCCCACGGTCAAACCCCCAAGGTGTCCGCAGATAGTCTTCAGGAATGTCGTACATCCACTTCCAGGTCGACCCAGTACAAGAAGGAGCTCTCCTCCCTGGAGTAAGCCATCGAAGTTGCGGAGAATTTGTCTTGGTGGTGAGGTATGCCCAGTCAAAGCTCTGGTTGCAGCTCGGAAGGGGACTCTCAAACTGGAAGTGAGGGTTTCCTGGTATTGTAGAGCGGAGCCAGAGCCATGTATGGATAGATTGGAGAATACCACGCCTTGATTGAGGATATCGATGCCTGAATCGTTGACCTGCTCCAGTACCATTTGCGCCCATCGGCGATGATCGAATCGGGGATTGGTGGGATCGAGGTATGGGGGGATACCTTCTTTTGTGCTGGCCGATCTTGAAAGCTGTTGGCCGATTTTGCTAGAGGCAATGCGAGTCAAGGTCTGTTGTTCTCGCTCCTCTAGTATAGTTCCAGTGCGTTCCGTGATTGGAGCGAACTCGGGATCACCATAGTCCTCCATGGCGAGGAATGGACCAATGTGTATGTTTGTGTATAATTTTGAGCTCCTGGGAGCATCGGGCATGCCCAACCCTTTTAATCAAATCATCTCATCGGTAAACGGACAACGAAGCCACCGAAGTATCCATATTTATTTCATCGGGTTGGAGGCTTTCCGATGTATAACGGAGGGACGGACTCCGTTTCACCGAAAGCTTCTACTATTCTAGTTATTCTAGTGGAGCTCAGGTATACCCATAGCCTATAGGTACCTGCCTATTATTAGTATTGAGAAGTTTTCTCGTCTGATCGATGATTCTCATTGAAAAGAGATACGGCAGAAATATAAAAAAGCCGGTTTGGTTGCATCATACTGCATTGCATGCCTGTCAAATATCTACAAGTCACCTGCGCCTCCGTTCAGAATCTCATTATTATTATACTCCGAGCTCCGTACGGAGTACACGGATAGATATTATCTTCAAATACTCCAATTCAGGTTTTGAAACGGTTTACGACGACAATAATTGAGTCTGAGTGGAGCCTCGCTGAATATCCATCCCGACCCCGAGCGTAAAGGAGGTATCGGCGATTAGGGGTGTCCCTTATCTCCATGGTCTTTTTGTAGTGTTTGCAATGTTTGCAGTGTTTGTAGTGTTTGTAGTGTCTGTCATGCTTGCATCTTGGCTTGTAGCCTTAATCCTCAGGCATCATTTCGTCACCCAGCGCTAGACTAGATCGTTGCTTGATATGAATAAGAATCTACTTGTTTAAAATGGACAATTACTTACCTCCCTGACTATCGAGTGCAATCAAGTATTCTGGAGTTGCCAATGCTTATTTTATATCAGTGCTAAAACTCTTTTGATGACTATTCTTCATAATCACCCAGTCCGCGAATGACTGGTAGGTCACTGTATGATTGCATCTGTTGACTGCGTCCAAAGGCCGTCACTAGACACACTTTCAGTCTGCCTGGGACCTCATGCTTCGAGAATTTCTGATACATCTCTGCGATGTTCTCGAATTCGTCCACATACGTGAACATCCACGACGTATCTAGTTTACCTTCCACCACCAGATCCATTAAGAACGGATAATACTGCGCCTGGTCAGTCATGAATTCAGACCAGAAGAAAAGAAAACCTACCTTTTGCGGCCACGTTTGACCTCCACGGACTGTCAGAGCTTTCTGCATCAATGGCCCGATCGGGAAATCATGCGCCGTGAAAAAGAAATCCCCAACCAATGCTACGTTACCACCCTTACGGGTCGCCTTGATCATTGCCGATAATGTATCACTATTATCCCTCTCAAGCCCAATCGCCCGCATAGCCGAATACTCAGGTTCCTGCGAAGTACGATACCCACTAGCCTCAATAGACTGATCAAGGCCGTGGTTCTGAAGCGACAGAATATACTCCGCCACGTCCGGATGCCCATCCACATTAACCGGAATCATGCCAAAGTCCTCTGCGATCTGGAGTCGCGCCGCATCCTTATCCATGGCATAGACCTTTTTCGCCCCACGGAGCTTCGCCAGTCGCTGCGTAGCGAGGCCAATAGGCCCACAGCCCCATACCCCCACCACATCGCCATCCTGCACCTCAGCCAATTCCAGCGCATGCCAAGCGGTAGTCACGACGTTCGTCAAGCCCAGTAGCTTCTGCGCATCGACATCGTCCGGCGCCCGGACACACGATAAGTCGGCATGCGGCACGCGGCAGTATTCCGCCTGGTCGCCTGGATACCCGCCACACAGCCGGCTGTAGCCCAGCTTCCCGCCGAGTCGGTGGCCGTACGTGGATTCCGTATCCGGGGATGGGTTTGTGTTGTCGCAGAGCGAATACTCCTGTCGCTGGCAATAACTGCAGGTGCCGCATGAGATGACGGGTAGGATGATGACCCGGTCACCGGGTTTGAGGGTCTTAACGTCCGGTCCGACCTCTTCTACAATGCCGAGGGCTTCTTGGCCGAGAATGTCCCCTTTTTCCATTGCGTCTTTGAGCTCGCCTTCGTAGAGGTGGATGTCGGAACCGGAGATCGTGCAGTGGGTGATTTGGACTATGGCATCGCTGGGGTCGGTGACCTTGGGCTTGGGTACGAGTCCCACTTCGATTTTTCGTGTGCCCATCCACTGCGCTGCCTTCATCACTTCCGTGGGGTGCGGCGTGTATGCCGTGCTGCGTTGTATTAGATTGAGGCTGGCTGTGTGCGGAGGCATTTCTTACCTGGGCATTATGGCCGCCATAGTTGTGAGTAGTAGTCAATTGCCAACTCGAAAAATATTAGTTCGAATGAGTATCGAGGGGACTTATTGACTGGCTGTTGATACTGTCGACGTATAGTCGTTTGCTCCAATTGTTGAAGATTGAGCTATGGTAGACTTGGAGCAATGGCAAATTAACATCAAGATGATGCCACCAGGAGTGGCCAGAAAGTCATAGAGTTGCCATGAATGGTCATCTGATTTCTCGGTCCTATGGTTTTTCAGAAGACATATCCGAGCCGGAAACTAAGGCCGGCTATCAACACCTAACGGTTAAGGCAAAGATCAGTATAGAGTCAATAACATTGCAGTTAGGGTATCTCGATCTCAACTGGCTTTAACCACACTATTTAAATTTAAAAGTACATTTGTTCAGCATTGGTTCAATCTCATACATACACTGGTGAGAACAATGTACAGGATCATTTCGATGTTGGCAGGGATAACAAGTCAATGCATCGTATTCATGCGAAAAGAAAATAGGATATCTTAAAAAGAAGAACCGGCATCTTTATTCGCCCGCTGAGCAAAGGACTTGGGCAGTTTGGTTAACTGGCCGCTGGCCATAATGTCCCCCGAATCACTCTCGCTCCTGCTATCATCGCCAGACTCAGATTTGCCGGAGCTAGGCACCTCGTATACATTACTGGGGCGATCTCGGGCAGACTTCGGCTCAGGTCGCAGCTTAGCAGCCATTTCCTGTTGTTGGCTGCTAAGGATATCCTTGAGTGTTGGATTCGTTTTCTTTGCAACAACTGCCCGAGGTGTGGACTTTTGCGCCTCCAGCTTCTGTTCACAGGCTTTCAGTTCATTACGCAAGGGTTCAAGTCGGTCGCGGAGCGACTTTCGCTTAACCATTGCGAGCCTAGAGTTGGCTAATTTCTGCAAGAGTTCCTGCATCTCAGTTAAAATGAAAGTAAGCTGGGGATCAAAGGCTTTCCCAAGCTTGCGCTTTATTTCTTCTTCCTCCTCCCTTTCCTTTTTCTTTTGTTTTGTCTCCTCGGCCCTAGACTGTGCCTTAGCCTTCTTTTCGATCTCAATTTCCCGGGTCAACTGGTCGATATCAACGCCGAGCGGGTAGACCACTTGACTACTGGATGGTATTTCCTGAACATGCCCGGAAGCGGGTTTGGGTGTTTGGTTATCGTTATTGGTCTTAGGCGTGACTTGGCTAAATTTGGAGGTCGAAGGTGTTCCCGGAGTAGATTTAGCATTGGGCGTGGGCGTCTGTAGAGTAGACTTTGCCTTATGTGTAGCCTTCCGTGGGCTAGGGTTGTTGGTAATGGAGGTGGATGTGCTGATCGCAGTCTCGCGCGGAGTGGAGCGTGGAGCAGGATTCAAGCTAGAAGCAAGTTCCTCTCCTTCGGCGAAAGACACGGATCGCCTCTCCGTTGCCGGGGAATCCTTACCACGGATAGCGGATTGCAGCTTTTTTGTTCTGGCAATCGCAGGGGTATGTTTGTTAACAGCAGTCAAAGAAGACTCATCAGTAACAGAAACTTTGCCACTTGGGAAAAGCGGCCCACCGAGTGACTGCTGGGTAGGTGTTACGTTTGAATCCTGTAGGCTGACGGGCTGCTTGCTAGGAGGGCTCTGCGTAATTCCCAGCCCAATTCCAGATCGAGGAGGCTTAGGAGGCGCTTTGTTCTCCTCTCGAACACTGGCTTGTCGAGCTGGACTCGAGAAAGAAGGCGCACGGGATCGTCTGCGAAGTGGACTCGTTTGGGCAGGTGGCGGTTTCGATGGGGACTGCCGAGCCTGTTCAGAGGCCACAATGGCCGCGGGCACGGACACAGGAGGGGTAGATGTTGGCCGCGTCGAGGGATGGGCCTGTCCTTGGCGAGCTTCTTTGACCGACGTTGGCTCTTCGGAGGCCTGCTTTCGCTTGCGAGATCGATTCTCATGGGTTGTACCATTTGTTGTTGACATCGCGAGATCCAGATCTGAGGACTGGAAGCTCCCGGGTATCACAGGCTCTTCCATCTGTGAATCGCCCTCTAGATCAATCACATCCCCAGTGATCGGATTCGAGTTATCAATTTGAGACGTGATAGGTCCATTCTCTTCGCTGGCATCAGAGTCCGAGTCAGACTCGGACTCAGAGCTATCAGAGCTATCAGAACTATCAGAGCTATCAGAGCTATCAGAGCTATCAGAACTATCAGAGTTATCAGAGCTATCAGAAGTGTCAGAAGTGTCAGAGATAGTCTGATATCCTGTTTTCCTCTGATCCTGCTCGGCGTTCTTCTTTTTCTCCGCTTCGACCTTGTCATCCTCGCTGTCACTCTCCCCTTCGTCCGACTCCTCACTAGAGGTCTCGATCACAGTTTCCGCTTGAGATTTCTGCGGGTGGGATACAATCTTAGCCATTGTCGCCAGATGCCCTTGTGCGTTGACTCCATTGGTCATGTCCGACTTGGATGGTATTTTCACGTTACGTTGCGGAGCAGACTCTGGTGCCACGTCACTCGAGCTCGCGGTAGCTTCCTTGGTAGATTGTGTTTGTTGGTGGGGGATGATATGGTTAGGCGCAGACGACATGGGTGGGGATTCAGCGTCGTCAGGGATTTGCGTGATTGTTCGCTTAGCTGTACTACTCGCAATGGGTAACTTTACGAGCTTTTGCGGATTAGGTTGCAGTGGTGACCCAGCAGCTACAGGTGCAGCTGTAGGCTGGGATCTGGCGCTGGATGCTCGTCGTTCGGCTGGTGATGGAGACTCGCCCAGCTCCTCACTTTCGTGCCTGGGAGGCGGCGTTCCAGCAATTGTAGGGCCTACAGACTTCGCTGGTAGCTGAGGGGTAGAGCGGTTGCCGGTTTCAACAGAAGAAAGAGGTAAATCGCGATTGCGGTGCTCAACAGGTGACTTCCGAGCTGAGGCACGAGGGAGATTATTGGGCGATCCAGGCGAATGTTCCCATTGCATTTGATCCTGGGAAAGATATTGAGAGTGACCGCGCGAGGGTTGGCCGTTGCTCTCCTCATCTTCTTCCTGGATGGCAGGGAATTGGGCTTCCATGGCTTCCTTCTTAGCCTCCATGGCGCGCTTGCGTTTGTAGGCAACAATAGCAGCATCCCAATCCTGCTCGACAGAGGGGAATCGCTCCGGGGCAGCCGCGGCAGGCTTTTGAAGAACGCGAACGGAGCCACGCTGGTCAAGGCCATCGGCGCGAGCTTTCCCGTAGTCGACCCAGACATCAGCAACAGTCAAGTCGGGATAAAGATCGAGGTCCTCCTTTGTATCGTCGAGAATCTTCTTAATCGAAAGCGATCTATCAACCAACAACAATGTTAGCAACCAAATTTCGACAGACTAGATAAGTTTCTCATCAAGTATATGAACACTCACTCCAGCTCTGGGTGGAGCTTTCCCCAATGCTCTTGAATCATGTCCGCAAGTCCACCGAGCGAAACCTCTTCAGGGTGCTCAAGGACAAGCAAGAAGACACCGGGTTTCTTCAATGTCGGTTCCTGGTTGGAGACATTGTTGGTAGTCTTTCGTGCGCCAGGGAAGGTCCTGCCGTAGCTGGAGCTCGAGTTCAGCTGATCCGGCGGGAAGACTTTAATTGAGAGTCGGAGGAACACCATTGCGCCAGATAATAGAATAGGCAGTAGATGAATATGCAGCTAATGGTTGTGATTGGAGCAATGGCGCGTGAGGGAGGGAGGTCAATAAAAGCCGGTAGAGCTGGGGAGGGGCAATTAATGGTAGGGAGCAAATTAGCAAAGACAAATTTATCAGACACACATGTCCTCTCAAAGAGACAAGGTGCCAAACACCAAACGGAATGGTGCAGGGTGAGTGGGTGGGAGGGAGAAGAAAAGCGGAAGAAACTGACGCGAAGTAGTAATTGTCCAGCTCCACTTAACTAGTGTACTAGTTATCTGCCGTGACTATCTATAAAACACATCTGCTAATTTAAATGAGAAGAGCAAGAAGATAATAATTCATGGATACTAGGCTATTGTTCGTTGTATCCTAAAGTCCTGTCTATAATCTAAGGTTACGGGTTCCTGCGCAGTTCCATACAATATAGATGAACAGTACAGACACAAATTCTTGTAGTATTTTCATATATGATTTTTAAATAATGTCTCTAGAGATGGATCTATTCCGGAGGCACAAAATACCTCCGGAAGCGATCATTGTGAGCTAAATCCAGCTCAACAATGACCGAATGACAGCTCATCAACAGACTTGGGAACCTGTATGTCCAGAAATTGAGATATCCTTCAGGCAAGCCACCAATATTATCCTTAAGATGATCAGGCATATCGTTGTAGTGATTGCGCTTGTTGCGGAGAGCCCTCAGGAGATCCAGCATCCGCCCCCCGGTATATTTGCGCTGCTTGCCGAGATTGTCTTTGAAATCCCGCGGCAATGAGCGCAGGAAATCCATGTCGGGACCCATTACTCGCTTGGCCACTGATTCCAAACAAAGCAGTGCGTCTGATGGAGGCTCGCGGGGCTCAAATTCGAAGTGGTCAGATACATCACAAAGGAAGGCGAGACGGTCTGATGGGGGCCAGAAGAACGGGTGCATTAATACAGCGCTTGCATCAGGACTAGAAATTCATGTTAGTAAGTTGGGTATGTTTCCGCAAAGAAGAGTGCTTACCGTTGCCGAGGGTCTAGAGACAGCATTGAGCGGATCAGATCATCCGCCTCGAAAGCGTAGTCGCCTAGGCGGCTTAATTCTTCCAAATCGAATTGGCCCTTGACGATGTTTGCTTCACGCATGAACTTGCCATTTTTGTCGAATGGGTGGCTGCCACGAGTCAAGACGTAGTAGAACACACAACCCAGCGAGAAAATGTCAATGGCCCGAGTGGCGCGGCGGTTGGTCTGCGGGTCCACCACAGCCGGCTCCGAAGACTCGGTATGCTGGGATGCAAGAGATATAGGGCCGTCATCATCCACCAGGAGCTCGGGGGCACGCCAGCCGGAAGTTCCAGCGGCGTGAGCAGTGGTTGCCCGGAACG